AGAGAGAGAGAGAGAGAGGTGCATGTCTAATCAACTATAGAAAAGAGATGAATCTCCAAGGCACTTGCAGAACCACACTGGCAGTGCTGACCCAGCTGGGCTGGGGCAGTCGCCTTAGCATACGTCGGACTACAGAGCTGGGGACGGTGTGGCTCCACTAGTGGTCCGCGTTGTGATGATATTGCACGCCAATATGCTGAAGTGGAACGTTGGACGGCTGGTCGTCTGCGGCCACATTTGACGCCATTACGGGGCGTCCAATTTCAGCCTAGTGGTGGTACCGTCTGCTTGTAGCCGGTTGGGCCGGGTCCTTGGAGAAACAAGGCAGAGCCAACGGCGGCGCTATGGTAAGTGATTCGGCGCCAGTGAGACACACTGGGACGCCACCAGCGTTCGCAGAAACAGGGCAGGAACGTAGACCGTTCATTACATTGTTCACCATGCATTAGACCGCATAGCTCATTCCCGTATCCGAAGCACCGTTGCATGCAATCCGTTTCCGACCTCTCCAATGACTTCAAGCAGTGTGTCATGCCCACGTCTGTTAACATGCATGCATGTCATGATTTGACACGACGTAGGGAAGCTTTAGTTTATTAATGTACAGTTTTCGTTTTCAGCAGCAACAAAACTTTACTAGCTGTGCCCCACTGTCTCTTTTTTAGCTCAGCTGGCCTTTGACTGGGATCAGTTCAACTAAACTGGAGAATTTAAGTTTGGAGTCCGCCAGAAGCCTACAAGTCTGATGGACGAGGAACATCAGGCACCTTTGCGTCTTGCAGCCATTAAAACGACGTCTTCGTCGGTCAGCAGAGCTACCGTGTCAAGGGTGAGACGTGCTGGAGCTACTGATAGAGTCTTCCGGTACTGTATGTCACGTACAGGAACTGCTGATAGAGTCGACCGGTACTGCATATGACGTGCTGGAACTACCAATGGCGTTACCAACGCGAGACTCCCAGTGCTGTATGTGACATACTGGAACTGCTGATAGAGTCGATCGGTACTGTATATGACGTGCTGAAGCTACCAATGGCGTTACCAACGCGAGACTCCCAGTGCTGTATGTGACATACTGGAAGTGCTGGTAGAGTTCGACCGGTTACTGTATACGGCGTGCAGGTAATGCTGTACTGATTGAGTCGTCCGATATTACATGTGGTGCGCTGGTATTTTTGACCGAGTCTCGCGCTACTGTGTGTGACTACTGGTACTACTGATGGAGTTGTCCGGTACTGTATGTGAAGCACTGAGACTATTGATGGAGCTTCCCGTTACTGTATGTGACGTTCTGGAACTACTGATGGAGTCTCCCCGTTACTGTGTAATCTACTGGAGCCACTGGTAAAGTCGCCCTGGTTACCGTATATCACCTGCTGCAGCTACCATTGCAGTCGCCTGGTGCAGTCAGTGGGGCACTGGGACTACTGATGGAGTCTCCCCGAAACTGCATGTGGTGCACCGGGACTATTTACGAGGTCTCGCGGTGCTGTATGATGCGTGCTGGATCTGCTGATGGAGTTGCCACGGCTGCCAGATACTTCTGCTTCCTAAAATCTTACTGTTACTGCGTGTGATACCGAGGGATGAAAGCGAATCGTGAGGTAGATAATTACGGTTCCAGCATCTGATGTTTATTGGCAGCCAATCGCTGACTAGGTTTCAACTGGCCATAAGCTAGTTATTAGCTAGTTATTGCTTGTCAGTCGTAACATTAAAAAACCTACTATGTCCACGCAACATGCAAGGAGGATACATAAAAGGGGCTTGTGTGACCACTTCAACGGTGCCACTTGAGCTAGTTGTTGCTGGGAAGGCGAAACAACAACGCGAACGACAGAGGTGTTTTGCAAAATGTATTGGAGAAAGAAGCTGGACAGTGTTCAACGTAAAACCGTGCTCCAAATATAATAACTAACAGGTTTCTCTGGATTGGTTCCACTTTCTTCTCAAAGATGAGACGCTGGAGCTCAAGTGGAAGGGGGGGGGGAGCAGGAGGGGGTTGGAGGGTTTCAGGACACTAACTCAAAAGCTCAAAGTGGAAGGACAGAAAGTCGGAGCGTAACAAGTGAAATACCAAAATGTCCAACGAACTGAAAGTCAAATGCAAAAAGACAAAAGGAGGCAAGTGAAATGAAAATGCCAAATGGCCAAAAAGACAAAAACGGTAAGACTTAAATGGATGAGACAGAAAAGAAAAGAGCCAAAATGATAAAAATATGCGCAAAAAGTAAAACAGAACAAGCTAGAAGTCAACTGGAAAAATCAGATCAGGCCGGAGCAGGTGACTTCCGATTCATAAAGGGGGCCTCCGAAGCCCCCTCCCCAAAACACAAAGCAAGACCTGGTCAAGAGCAGGATGTAACTAAATCATAAAGAGGACATTCCGATCTAGAAAGTGGCCTCTTGATGCAGCGAAAAATCGTCCCGGACCAAGTTAAGATCGTTTCCAAATAAAGCTTCCAAATTCAAAACCAAAGCTCGATGTTACAAACCAAACAACCTGATTCTCGCTGAGAATGGAAAAAGCCGCTTGAAGTCGAAGGCTGCACAGACAAGTCTTCTGTAAAATCCTGGGTGCGCTCAGGCGAGTGCTGGCAGCAGAACTGCGTCATGCACCTGCATTTGCCATAGCATGAACCTGTAATTTCGTTTTGAGCCATACCTGCGCATGACGAATGGTTCATGTATCAGAATATTTGCAACGATGACGTGCAGATGCTGGCACAGGTGCTCGCTATGCTGACTGCCACATGCATAAGCATGAGGCAACCCTTCTCTGCTCAGCCCATCTGCGGGCCGTGCATTTACATTCTACAACTGGTCGGCTATGGTCTATATGCAATGCCGTTTAACGCTGTTCATTTGTCCGTTTAGGGATCATTGTTAACATGCTACATTCCATGGGTATTTATGGTCGCGTACATTTTTTTTTGCAAAAGTAGCCAAGGTGTCTGATTCCTCTATTCTCGAGCGCGCGTCTGGCTGTCACTCGGTATGTCCGCACTTCTTTTGTCGAGGTCCAGCACGTTAGGTTGGACGGAGTGACGCACAACCTGCCCATGATCCAGACGACCAACGACATAGACTCACGGCCGTGCGATAACAGTGTCGATCACATGTGATTCGCGCACTTCAGCGCGTGCGGAAAGGTTTGCTCTTTTGGCTATTTCACACTTAGCAGGAAGACACTTTAAAAAAGTAGGTGAAACTAGTTGTGGGAAGATGCCAGGCCATTGAAAACGGTCGCAAACTCAAGCAGCGATGACTATGTGCCTTCACACGAAGGTAATCGCCAATTCATGCAAGCGACTAAAATTAAAAAAATGCAAAAAAAAACCGGCCCACTGTACATCACTGAGTTACGATGTAATGCCATGCAGCTGCAGGCGGTGCCATATCGCTGCCAACGGAAACAAGCACGCACCACAAATGAATTATGTCTTCAATGTCCCGAGCGCGTGGAACAGTGATCCATGGCGGATTGCGTGAACCGCAAATGTTTCTGGGTGATCCATGGATTCAAGTTTACAAGTGTTAGCTAATGATCCACTCATATGGTTGAAGGCACGTGGCAACGTGACGACACTGGTGGTGTTATCGGCGCCAACGGCGTCTCCTCTTCGTGCAGTGAAGCGAGCGCGAAACGCTTGTTAGTATTCAAATGTTGACATGGTAGCTTGAACAAAACTTCACATTATGTTGTCAACTTGGAATAGCATTAAATCCTAACCGATAAAGTGAGAAATGTTCTTCTTTTTTGAAATCACAATTTTGAAGCCTCACTGCGTTTTTTTCTGGGATGTTCCACCGCGAAATGGCTAATAAACGAATTGATTTCCTTGTGCCTCAAGTCCTGATAAAATTACGTTTGAGTGTACCTGATGTGTGTACCATGATACCTGATAGAGTACAGCCGCGCAATTGTAAGGTCGATCAGAGCAGGGATACCTGAGTTACTACCTCAGGCTTCTTGAGAAATCAGCAAAAGGCAACGTATTAGCAGGCATCATAATCCTCCTTTTGCACTCTTCGGCTAAAATCTAAGTGGTGGCGAGTGACTGGTGTGCGCTAATAACTACCGGCTCATCCGGGCTTGTCGCATCAATGGTGTGCTGTTACATACTGACTTCAGGTCTATGACTTATGTCGAGGGTCTAATTAGGTAAGCCTCTCTGGAGAACCTGCTTGAGCAAGGTTCTCCCTCAAAGGCTACTACGACTGTTTGGTGCGGTTTCTGGCACATCTTGCACCTGGCACCCGCGACTGCCCACATATCTATACAGAATTGCTGAATGAAGCTGATGCTGATCGCAATGATGCGCATTTCAGAAAGAGCCCGCACCATTTACGTCCACAGCTGGTTTAAGCGGATGATGGAATGACGCCTACGCACTCGTGCTTCACCTGTCTCCAGCCTGAATCTGCGGCTGCTACTTGACAACCTGTCATGGACCTCACTGGACCAGCTGTGCTGCTATGCATGACGTCCTCGATCGCCAGGTATATAAACCGCCGCCTAGAGCCATTTCTCTACACTCCTTCCGAGCACGCCAACAGCTCGCGTGATGACGCGTTGCGCGGCACTGGTGCTCCTCCTGGCGACGGCCGCCGCCGCCAACTACTGCACTCTGCCCTCTTGCCCCGGCAGGACGCACACCATGTGCAAGTACCCTCGTAGCAACCCGGGTTCCTCCTGCGATAGGGTGCTCGAGCGTGGCGTTAGCCGCGCAGATCGAGCTTTGATCCTCAGGGAGCACAACAGGATCCGCCAGGCGGTGAAGGCCGGCCGGTACGCCTCGAAGAACCTGCCGGCCGCCAAAGCCATGCCCGACCTCAGGTGGGACTCCGAGCTGGCGCGGGTGGCGCAGCGCTGGGCTGACCAGTGTTTGTACGGCCACGACAAGTGCCGCAGCGTGCCACGCTTCTACGTCGGCCAGAACTTTGCCTTCACATCGGGCGCCGCCAGGGACTGGAACGGTAGAGCGATCCGCCAGTGGTTCCACTCGGAGCTGCCGTTCTTCCGGCAGAGCGACCTGGTGTTCCGCCGGGGCACGGACCCGGCAACCGGCCGCGCCATCGGTCACCTGACCCAGGTCATCTGGGCGCGCACCACCAAAATCGGCTGTGGCTACATGGCTTGGGGCAATGACAAGTGGGCAGCTCGCACATACTTCTGTAACTACGGACCGGGTGGGAACATCCGGCACCACAAGATCTACCAGCGTGGTCAATCACCAGGGACCTGCCGTGGCTAGTCGCTGTTCGAAACACGAGCGCCGCCACCAGGCTACCGCTTTGGTCCACCGCTGCCCACTCCCTGACGGCTCTTCAGTTCACACGGACGGCAAACTGCTGTTCGGACTCGCAGACCGAGGCAGGTTTCTTACAGCTCACGATGACTGGTCTACTAAGCCTTTTCGCATTACGCGTACTCGTATAGGCCACGGCCATGGCCAATGGTAACAATCTGGGACGAGGCGACACAGGTTTTTAGTTTGATTTCTATGGGTTTTTGTTAAAGCAATTACAATTTGGACGGGTGCAAAGTGGTACATCTATTAATAAACACTTCTATGGGTGTTCCGTGTTTCAAATAACGTCGTGCTCTCATGGCACGGCTGTGATGAAATACCTCCGCATGATTCCACTGCTGCTGCCATAGCCTGTACCAATACGGACAGACACGCTTCTCGATTCAATGCGACGACCATTATGAAGAATACCGTCACTGCGCCGTTCATGAGCCATAAGCGTAACTGTGAACATAGACTACGATACATTGGCGAAAAAACGTGTTATAAAACAGGGACCCAAAAACAGTTTTGATGTCAATCATTTCCATGCGTCTCCTAGGGTTATCGTAAAGTGTAGTTCTATCACGTCTGCGATTCCCCTCGCACTCACACTTATGTTCGGGGTAGCACCAGGCATTTGGGGTTTGGTGGGGGGGGGGGGGGAGGGGCGGGGGGGGGCTTGCTTTTCCGGGTGGTCTCCAGGACAAAACAGGGTCTTCTGGGCAAAAGCATGTTAAAGAGGGAGAAGGGGAATATTCAAACAAATTTTCGCCATTTTGCCAGAATTCGACTCAGTGGCTCATAGCTCGTTCGAGTGAGCGTCTCACTTTTTGGACATATTTCAAAACATACCTTGACCCGGTGAAACCTCAGGCCTGTTTACGAGTAATAATAACATTGGTTAGCGTCGCTGTAGTATCATCAATATATTGTTAGGACATAAATTGCAATCATTTTCGAGCCCAAATTACGCTGTTGACGCTCTGTAACAACCCTACACTTCTTCTTTTATTGGTAGCCCCAGAATGCATCCCGCCTCTTCGACAACGCAGTTGTCGCGACGGCCGACGTCATGACGGCGAAGTCTGCTGAGGGCTGTTGTCAGTTATTACGTGATGCAGGTGCCAATTTTGAGCTAATTTAACCTGCACATTGCGGGCCTGCGTGCTGAAAAGTGGCACCCCCCACTCTTATGAATGACAGTAGTGCAAAGGAGCGTTCGTGATTGCACAACGAGCGGCAGGCGCCATTTATCAGGAGCGCATCTGTTGAAGTTAGACAAATGAAAGACAATCTGATACTCAATCTTCCAAAACCACACTTCACTTAGGGAAGAACCACGGTGGTAACGCAATAGGTGAGAAGTCAAAGGCGTAGTATAACGTTTCATTGCATTTGTGGCATAACAGCCTCATGTTTGCATACGTTTTCCTCTAAAATCAAGGTTCCAAGCTTCTGTTGCATTTATTCTACAAGCGTTTTGAAAATTAAGTGTGCCACAAATATTACAGATCACACAAGCTGAAAAGCAAGGCCCATGAAGCGCATTACTTTTATAGCGGTGCGCAAGAAGTGCACTGATATTTCTTCCGAAGGGCGGCTACCTGCAATTGAAATTCTGCTATTCAGAGCGATCCCGAGAACCCTCGTCAAATCGGACGTGTCTAACCTAATCACAAGTGAACAGCACAAAAAGATAGCACTCTCCGTTTAAGCATTTGAAGTAGAAAAAGGTCGATTTGTGTGCTAGATCAGCTTCACATGGTTACCACCGTAGCGTCCACGGTGCTAAAGAATCTGAAATGTTAAAAAACAAGGAAAGTCAGTTTTTGGCATGTTATACCTTAAAAACGCAAAACATAAAATTGCTAGGATAAAAATATACGCAGAAAATCAAGGCGTGTCGAATGGTACCCTTTTTGCATTAAAACTTTATCATGTTCGAAAAATCAGTCCCAGAAACACGCCAGCTTTTGAAGTTACATTTTGCCGGTTTGAAGGTATTTATCAATTACTGTGTGCGTTGCGGTCTTCTACCGAACACAATCTAAACGTATTGGCACAACTGAGGGATGGTAAACATTTCGAACCCTCCTTGTGGCAGGTTTTTAAGATTTTGGTAGTTTCCGACGGCATTAAGTTAGACTGATGCGTTATGGTTCTCCTATTCACCACACCCCTTTAAAGTGACGTTTCACAGTCCAAGCAGCTGGCTAGCAACTGGTGCTTATTGGTCCTGTCAGTGGCGAATTTTCATTTAAGACCTGACCTGGGTCTTTTTTGCCAAGCCCGAAAGGTAAATGGGTCATTTGTCTATCTACCCCAAGCGGGCCGAATTTGGTAGCTCAAACAGCGTAGGATCTACAAGGTCTGGAATGCGAGTCTTTTCGGTGAGCTGTGATTCTTAAGATATGACTGGTGTTCTTGAGTCCCCTGAAATTAACACGCAATTGGGTGGGGGTCAAATTGACCCCCCATAGCTTTCTTTGGAATGGTTTCCAAACGGCGCGGCGCAGCCGCGGCAAATGTCGTGTAGCTGTATACAACTGAATAACAGATCTTTTGATATCAGCAATTTAGATATGTTTTGTAAGGTCGGTGATCTATGGCAGTTCAAAGTCAGGACATGGTTTCAGCAAAGTCAGTTTCTAGAGAATCGTTCAACCTGATGCAACAGCGGAGTGTTAGACGACGCCATACATATCTGAGATGTGTTCTTAGGCAACCAACCTGTTGTATTCGTCTAGGGCTTGCCGTATGGGAGAGTTTCTGGTGTTTATTTCGAGTATATTCACAGCAAGAACCGCATGATACATCTTCCCTGAATTTCTTGGAGACCAGAATAGGTCATTGATCTAAAATGACTCAAATCAACATTTTGCTTTTAGGAACATACTGCCTAGGGGATTTGATATCTTTGTCGCCTATTCAAATGCAAAACTCAGAGCAGTCGTGTATAATTCTGCTCACCATGACCTTCAAAATGTCAAACAAGGTCACTGACCTTGAATGGGTATGTGATCTTTTGGTTAGAAACAGCTATCTAGGTCCAGGGAGCACTTTGAAAACCAACCGAGAATTTGACCTTGTTTGACCTTATTTTACCCAAAGGCCATAACCTAGGAGCCTCATACTTTGATCTAAGTGAGTTCACGTAAAGGGCAACTCACTCTGTGAATTTGGTGTCTCTAGCTTTCTCAGTTCCTGAGATCTTAGTGGCGTGAAATTGACCCCCACCCGAGCGACGGGTATCCAGCCGGCCACCCGGGTGCGCGCGTGTACGGGTGCGCGTTAACGTAACGTAGTTTTCCTATTCACCGGCTAAAAGAATTCCTGAAGTGTGCTTCAATTTTTGTTCTGTCTTTAGTTATTCAGCTGGCTTTTTATCGGGATCAGTTCTTCTAAGCTGGAGGCTGTAAAGTCTGGAGTCCGCCACATGCCTGCAAGTCCTGCCGGCGAGGAACGCCAGACGCCGTTGCATCCTGCGGCCATCAAAGCGACGTCTCCATCGCTCAGCATAGCTGCCATGTGAAGAGTGAGACGAGCTGGAGCTACTGGTGAAGTCTCCCGGCACTGTATGTCACGTGCCTGTACTGTTGATGGAATCTTCCGGTGCTGAAGACTGTATGTGACGTGCTGGACCTACCGATGGAGTGGCTCGGTACTGTATGTGACTTACGCACTGCTAATGTCCGCACTGTCTGTGACGTGCTGGGACTATTGATGAAGTCGCTCGGTACTGTACGTGGCGTGCCGGGGCCACTGATAGATCCACCCGATACTGTCTGTGACGAACTGGGACTACTGATGAACTTGCTGTATGAGACGTACTGCGACTACTGATAGTGTCGACCGGAACTGTGTACGACATGCTGGTACTGCTAAACTGCTTGAGTCGTCCGATATTACATGTGGCGCGCTGGTGCTTTTGATAGTCTCCCGTTACTGTATATGACGTTCTGGAACTACTGATGGAGTTGCTTGGTATTGTATGTGACGCAATGAGACTACTGATGGAGTCTCCCGTTACTGTATGTGACGCACTGAGACTACTGATGGAGTATTCCGGTACTGTGTGGCCTACTGGGGCCACTGGTAAAGTCGCCTGGTACTGTATATCACCTGCTGCAGCTACCACTGCAGTCGCATGGTGCAGTCAGTGAGGCACTGGGACTACTGATGGAGTTTCCCGAAACTGTGTGTGATGCACCGGGACTATTTATGAGGTCTCGCGGTATTGTTGATGCGTGCTGGATCTGCTGACGGAGTTTCCCAACTCTATATGTGACGCACTGGACTACTGCTGAGGTCTCCCTGTGTTGTATGGGATGTGCTGGGATTACTGATAGAGTTGCCACGGGTACCAAATACTTAGGATTCCGAAAATCTTATTGTTACAGTATGTGATACCTAGGAATGTAAGCCAATCGCGAAGCAGATAATCACGGTTCTAATCGACCGGTTTTTATTACTGAGCAGTTATTGACTAGTTATCAGCTAGTCATAAGCTAGTTATTAACTAAGTTTTACTTGTCAACCGGGAAACTGACGAAGACCCACTATGTCCATGCAAGATGCAAGAAACACAAATAGAAAAGGCTTGTGTGACCACATCAAAGGTGGCCTTTGAGCTAGTGCTCGCTGGGACGGCGAAAAAAAAAACGCAAACGACAGAGTTTGTGTAGTTTTGGCTACTCTGTCGCGTGGTGCTGTCAGTGAGGGGATATCTCACTGATTATAGGGAACTTTCGCAAAATGGGTTAGGGAAAGAGACTGGGCGGCGTAAAATGAAAAACACCTTTTTCCAAATACGATAACAAACGAATTTCTCTGCGGATTGGTGTCACTTTCCTCCCGAAGGTGGGGCACCGGAGCCCGAGCTGGGGGAGGGAACGGAGGTAGAGAGAGGTTGGAAGGTTTCAGGACACTAACTCAAAAGCTCAAAGACGAAGGACAGAAAGTCCAAGCACGACAAGTGGAATGTCAAGAAGTCCAACGGGATAAAAGTTAAATGTAAAAAGCAAAAGGATGCAACATAGGCGGATCCTGGAGGGGCATGGGCCATGGCCTCCCCAAAAAACACTTAGAGTATGTTTTGTACCCCCCGAAACATTCCCAGAACTTCGTAAAAGTTTCGTTTACTTACCGTTTGTTTTGATGATGCGGTACCAAACATTTCTTTCCGTTTCGGAAAAAAACTTCGTGAAGAAAAATTGGCAGCGATTTGAATAAAAAACAAAACGCTTGTTGACGCAACTTAGTCATACTCGGCGCAAACATCGTGTTTGATAAGTGCAATGGACCTCGATCCCACACCAGTCAACTGGCGACGAACGGTTGCTCCCTCCCCCCCAAACTCCAGGCTAGATCCGGCCCTGGGATACAAGTAAAATGAACACGCTGAATGGGCAAAAAGTCTAAAATGGCAATGGTCAAACCGATAAGTAACAAAGGCAGACAGCCAAAAGGATAAAAATCAAGTTAAACGGGTCAAAAGACCAATAAGTCAAATGGAAAAGCAGATTGGGTTATCACTCAAAACACATCTACGCGGGCAAGAGCCCTGGGTTTCAAAGGGCTTACTAATGACCTATGGGGCCATGGTCAATTGCTCGTCCAGGGTCGGGGTATGGGGTAGGGGGATGAGAAGGGGGGGGGGGGGGTGAAGCCTTCACTTCGCCGGCTGGGCTTAGACAATTGGTGGCCTCGCGACTTCGGTGAGGGCGCAGAGGTGTCCCAGATTTAGATCGAAACGCCCCATGTGCCATGATAGATGTCTTGAGTCCTGAATTTTTGTCAAACCATGTATTTTAAGTCATCTGCCTTGGGTTATTCTACCCCAGAATATCATGGTCATAAAAGATGGGCGCCGGCATGGAGTATAAGCTGAGTGAAAATTTTCGCAGTACTCCTTGGCAGAATAAGTCTTTATCACAGTTTCCGGGAGGCCCCTGGGAGAAGAGACTTTTGCACTCGAGCGTGAAAAGGATAAGTGCCCCCCCCCCCCCCCCCCAGCTTCCTTCCCACGGTACCCTATTCGTACTGCTCAAAGCTGTATCTAGTGTATTTCCCCAGTTTTGAGAAACTGGAACTCGCTTTTTAAACTGTATGTCTGGGGTCCGGAAACGTAGCGGAAGCCCATTTTAAAGTTCCGGGGGATAGAGAGGGGGGGGGGGGGGGGTTGGGGTTGGGGAAAGAAATGAGAGCACGTCAGGACGAGCAAGTATAGACAAATCATATATGCACTTGTTTGAAAGTACTACCTGACCAGTCAGGCTTTTTTAGTACACAAAAAGCGGCACATAATGGCTGTGTGGAAACGCATCACACTTTCTGTGAACCGTTGTTTGGTTTGTTATTTTTTGCTGAACAGGCATGCATTTGATAGCAATGGGCAAGAATTGAGTTGAAATTTTGTGCCTGTGTCTTCCATCGCTTTGTAGGAATACACCTTCGAGCCTACAACTCTTTCCAAGTATGGAACAGGACGCTTAGGCTGTCTTCTTCACACCGGCCTCATCTCTTAACGAGGGATGGGCTCAGTGATTTACCAGCTCTAGTTCTCGTCTCTCGTGCCTTACGCCAACTAAATAAGACGGAACACATGGCGTGGCTGCTGGTTGCCTACATGAGAGTTTCGGATTACGTAACTGATGATTTCTGAAGAAAAGGCCGATATGTGTCAGGCTGTCAGTCATTATTCCAGGAACCGATGCCAAACATTTCGCGTCCAAGTACCTATGGTGTGGCCATTGTGTCTGATTAGGGATACATGGGAATGGAGTTCAGAACTGATTTGTCCCGGCCACATGTCTTGTCGAAGGTGGAATAATCACGAGATGCGGTATGAACACGGGGCCCCAATCCAGAAAAAACTTTTTTCATGGGTCTCCGGATCCGTAACGGTCAGTCTTCTGGAACTGATATAGGAGTACTCTGATCGCCTGATAGAGGAGCATTTTGATCCAGAACAGGGTCTCTTGATTTATTCCGGGTGCCTCCTAATAATTTCAGCCGTATCTGCGCATGACAATTGGTGCATACATCGGAATATTTGCGATGATAATATGCATCTGCTGGCACAGGTGCTCCTTATACTGACTGTTACATGCATAAAGATGAGGCTAACCTTCTCTGCTTAACTCATATGCATGCTGTACATTTCACATCCCACGAATGGTCGGCTGTTGTCTATAGGCAACGCTGTTGAAAGCTGTTTATTTGTCTGTTAAGCGATCACTTTTTTGCAATTCACATTCCATGGGTGTCTTTCGTCATGTACATCTCGAACGAAAGCAACGAAAGCGTCAGATTAATTTTTTCCGAGCGTACGTCTGACTGTTACTAAGTATGTCCGCATGTCTTTTGTCGGACGCGCAGCACGCTAGGCTGGACGGAGTGGCGCAAAACTTGCCGATGATGCAGACGACCCACGACAAGTGCAAGCGGGAACCGCGACCACGATGCAGGGGGGAACCGCGACCACAATACAAGCGGGAACCGCGACCACAATACAAGCGGGAACCGCGACCACGATGCAAGCGGGAACCGCGACCACAATACAAGCGGGAACCGCGACCACGATACAAGCGGGAACCGCGACCACGATGCAAGCAGGAACCTCGACCACGATGCAAGCGGGGACCGCGACCACAATGCGGGGGGAAACCGCGACCACGATACAAGCAGGAACCGCGACCACGATGCAAGCGGGGACCGCGACCACAATGCAGGGGGAAACCGCGACCACGATACAAGCGGAACCGCGACCACGATGCAAGCGGGGACCGCGACCACAATGCGGGGGGAAACCGCGACCACGATACAAGCGGGAACCGCGACCACGATGCAAGCGAGAGATGCTGGTTGGTGTCGAAGTTGAATTAAGCTCGTCTCAGCACACACTGCGCATTATGTTGCTGCCAATTGTGACGCGCAATTATGAGGTCTATCAGAACAGGGATACCTGAGTTACTACCTTAGGCTTCTTGAGAAATCACCAGAAGCAACTTTGTACGAGGCATCATAATCCTTCTGCTGCCCTCTCCGGCGAGCATCAAGTGGTGGCGTGTGACTGGTGTGCGCTAATAACTACCGGCTCATCCGGGCTTGCCGGATCAATGGTGTGCTGTGGCATACTGACTTCAGGTCTATGACTTATGTCGAGGGTCTAATTAGGTAAACCTGTCTGGAGAACTTGCTCGAGCAAGGTCCTCTCTCAAAGGCTACTACGACTGCTTAAGGCGGTTTCTGGCACATCTTGAACCTGGCAGCCGCGACTGCCCACATATCTATACAGAATTGCTGAATGAAGCTGATGCTGATCGCAATGATGCGCGTTTTAGAAAGAGCCCGCATCTATAGCACCATTTACGTCCACATCTGGTTTGAGCAGATGATGGAATAACGCCCACACACCCGTGCTTCACCTGGCCCTAGCCTGAATCCGCGGCTGCTACTTGACAGCCTGTCACGGACCTCACTGGACCAGCTGTGCTGCCATACATCACGTCCTCGATTGCCAGGTATATAAACCGCCGCCTAGAGTCATTTCTCTACACTCCTTCCGAGCATGCCAACAGCTCGCGTGATGACGCGTTGCGCGGCACTGGTGCTCCTCCTGGCGACGGCCGCCGCCGCCGTCAACTACTGCACTATAAGCAGATGCCCCGCCAGGACGCACACCATGTGCAAGTACCCCAGCTCCCGTCCGAGTTCATCCTGCGGTAGGGTGATCAACGAGGCGTGAGTCACACGGACCGGGCCGATGATCCTCAGGGCGCACAACAATATCCGCCAGGCGGTGAGGGCCGGCCGGTACGCCTCGAAGAACCTTGCCGGCCGGCAAAGTCATGCCCAACCTCATGTGGGACTACGAGCTGGCGCGGGTGGCGCAGCGCTGGGCTGACCAGTGCGCTTCCGGCCACGACAAGTGCCGCAGCGTGGCGCGCTACTACGTGGGCCAGAACCTCGCCTGGTCGTGGGGCGGCAAGAAGGACTGGAAGCGCTGGGCGGTCGGCCAGTGGTTCCACGGCGAGCTACCGTTCTTCCGGCAGAGCGACCTGGTGTTCCGCCGGGGCACTGACCCGGCATCCGGCCGCGCCATCGGTCACCTGACCCAGGTGATCTGGGCGCGCACCACCAGGGTTGGCTGTGGCTACATCGAAGTGCAGGCGGGCAGGTGGGTGAAGCGCACATACGCTTGTAACTACGGACCGGGTGGGAACATCCGGAACCACAAGATCTACCAGCGTCGTTAGTCCGGCGGACCTTCCGTTGCTCTGCCGCTGTTTGAAGCCGGAGCGCTGCCTGCAGAATACCGCCTTGGTCCACCGCTGCCCAGCTCCTGATGGCTTTACGCTCTACACGGACGGCAAACTGCTGCTCAGATTCGCAGACCGAGGCAGGTCTCTTATAGCCCACGATGGCTTGTTTACTAAACCCTTTCGCGTCGCACATATTCGAAAAGGCCACGGTAGTAATAGAGACCAATGGAATAATCGAGGACCCAGCAACCCAAATTGTGAATATCATTTCCATAGTTTTTTTTTCTAAAATAGCGAACCACAATTTGGAAGAAAAACAGAATGGACCCTATCTCATAAACAGCAATTTGGGTGTTCGGTGTTTCGGCGCTTTGGTTCAGACGCTTTGTTCGGCTGATATCGTTTTTCGGTTCCGTGTTCTGCTTGGCTGTTATGTAATACATTTGCATGATTCAACTATTGCTGTCACCGTCTGTGGTACCAAGGCAAAACATCTTTGCTAACGACGCAACACAATACGGCAGCCCCTATAAAACATATCGTGACTGCGACGTTTAAGTCATATGCATAACCTTCAACATGGACTCCACCAGAGAGGCGAATCAACGTCTCAGAAAACAGGGGTGCCAAATCTTATCTTTAATTAATTTCTTTCGATGCATCGCATACGGTTTGGGAAGTGCAGATGCTATGGTATTTGCGGCTCCCCCCCCCCCCCCCCCATCCCGTTCGTTTGTCTATCCTGCCGGGATGGGAGCAGCGCCACGGATTTTGTTTGGGGGGGGGGGACGGGGGCAATACCATTTCGAATGGGTGGGGACACCGGCCACTCATCAAATTGTTAAATGCATTAATATCCGTGCAAATAAACTTCGACGATCATAAAATCAAATAGGGCCTTTTGATAGATCCCCATGATCAAATCCCCTGAATACCTTGGGACTTCCGCTCCAGCAGAGAACCTCCCTATCGCAAAACAGGGGCTCCTGTTCCAGAAGAGGGCCGCCTTGCGCGTTAAAGGCTTCCTAATCCAGAACAGAATCCTCGCGTTCAAACAGAGCCTGCAAATCCAGGAAAGGGCATCATTATCCCAAGACAGGGCATCCCGATCGGAAACTGAGGCCAGCTGACGCATGAGAGAGGCCCTCCTGTTCCACAACAGGGGCTTCTTGAGGCAGAAAAGATCTTCTGAGTCTGGCTTGGTACCCTCTAGCTCAGTGATGGGGCTCTTCGATTTGAAATTGGGTAATTTTTGTGTAGCCGACAAGCCTTTAGCTCGGGAAAAGGGCCCTCTCAAAATTCTATTGGGGGTGGGGGGGGGGGGGCGGATCATGCTCTCCTGAGTGGGCAGGACGGATAGGGCAGTTGCCCCGTTCCCCCTGCTGGCAGGCGGGAGGGGGCAAGGGTATACTTTTGGTGACCCAAACTTTTTCGGGCCTCTTCAGAAGACTGTTGTTCCCTATCAGGATGTCCTATTTTGTTTTAGATGGCCTTTTGCCGGATTTACAGGCCCCATGTGACAATCGGAAGAACCTCCTTCCGGATTAGGAGGCCCTTTAAGCATCGGAAGGCCTTTTCATGCAGTCGGGGGTCTGTCTTGAGATAGAAAGGCCATTTTCTGGGTGGAGAATCACCGTTTTTATCGGAGGGCGTTGTTCGGGATTAGTGTCGACATTTATTCACACACATGAAATAACCATTTTATTGGGGGAACATGCTTCCCCCCCTTGAAAATGACACTTCCCAAGAGGCTCAATGCGAGAAGGCCCCTGAAAGCCCTGCCCCAACTGCAATCTGCGGCGCTCCTGCCGGCTCCCGGGGCTTCAGGGGCCTGAACTAATGACAACCGTAGAACGGCCATTTCGGACATTGTGCGCGCTGCGCGTTTGCGCAGCACGCACACAACAAGCGGTGCCGGGCATGCGTCCGCTCGTCGGCTGCGGGAAGCCGTGGCTATGACTGACAGAGCAAGATCACAATCACAATCCGAATAAGTCGTAATATCCAGAGCCCTCTGATTTGCTCACGGTCACTATCACTCAGCCGCTCCAGGGACAGCCGCTCTCAGCTCGCTCAGTTTCGTTCCTCTGTCTTTGGCGTTCGGAGGATGCGACGTGCCTTTGAATGGATGCGGATCGCATGTATGTATCGACGCAACGCATGTATCGACTTGATAATGGGACCAAAGCCCTCACTTCCCCTTGTTCTTTCATCGCACAGCCCTGGCCAGCACAAGGCAGCCCATGTCCTGCGGTGCGCAGGCCGGTTTCAGCGCGTGCCATTGCACAGTTGACGCCTCAATCCTGCGCAGCACTCCCGCAGTGTGATCAATGGCCGCAGAAATGGATCTAGGCTTCCGTCGAACGCTGCAATCAGCAGCCAATTAATCAGCCCGAACGAGCGGGATCCGTCATTTAAATAACAAACGGGTGACGCGCACGACTTCGAGGCGGTCGCGCTTGATCGCTGGCTTTGGAGCAGGCAGCAGTGCTGGAGCTAAAGGCGTTGCCGACCGATGCGAAGAACAAAACACGCGACGTGGCCATGAGAACGGCGTCGATGTATTCTAGATTCGTGCAGCCATGCTCTCTTAGAAAAAGCACACGGGTTAATGGATCTCTTGATGCATTACATGACCCAACTTCGTGATCGAACGAACGGCCCGGCCATGACGTCAGCGAACCTACTGGCGGTCGTGACGCTTCCGTCAGTCTGCCAATACGTAGATGACTAAAATGGCATAAAATGATGCCATGGGCGATCAGTAGCTTGAGAGAACTAACAACTCATTTTTCAACATCATGGCACATTATCTAACTCTCGCTCAACGAGGGAGGAGGCCTCCCGAAGTTCTTGCGTAGAATATTATTTATGCTTAGAGCACGGTGCTGATATTTTCGGCAGCTGCGCTCCCATAACTTGTTTGCATATTCTGTACGAATTAAATGTTTCTGATCCTGACTGTTCATGGCCTCAGACCGGTTTCTCAGGCATGGCGGCGATATTTTGATCGAAAATGTCAAATGACGCTTATTTCTCGTGATAAATAAATTCAAAGGTTTCCTTGATTGCTTTCTGAGCTGTTTTACCGCTTACTGCATTATGTCGTTTGTTGTTTTTTTCAGGTCAGACCGTCCAAGCTCAAAGTAGGTCAGACTTTGACCTTTATGGCCATGCCTGATGACTTTGAAATCCATATAGCCTATGCCGTATAGCACAGATCTCACATCTTTGGAAGGTCTTTCTAACGCTGTTTTCTTCATTAATGTAAATTATTCAGTTTTTTACATAGGCGGATGGTCCAAAGCAGCAATAACATTCACCCCCTCCAGCAGAGAAGACATAACACAGATCACATCTGTCGATTTCTACGTGTTGATCAGATAGCGCTCACAAAAGCTGTTCAACTAAGTTGCCGCATTGTTGTACCGTGCTTTGTTCTTCAGATAACGTGGGTGGGAGACTAAAAAGTGCATATTTAATCATTTGATCACGATGAGCTGATTTGAGTCCTACAACGTCTTATTCATTTTTGTTCGGACACATTGGTCCAGTACAGTCTGGCGAGGCCTTTGCATTGCCGTTTGGCTCGAGATTCCAGCTACCTTGCCTTCTGAGATTTTAAGGACGAGGTATCAAAGAGCCCATCGTTGGGCGAAGGTGTAAAACCTACCCGAGGGCAATGGTTAATATCCTACATGTCCCGAGATGATGGGCCTCGGTGATGGCTACCCTAGGACAGTGGTTGATATCCTACATGTCCCGAGATGATGGCTCTCGATGATGGCTACCCTAGGGCAATGGTTGATATCCTACATGTCCCGAGATGATGGCTCTCGATGATGGCTACCCTAGGGCAATGGTTGACATCCTACACGTCCCGACATGATGGCTCTCGAGTCATCCCAACAATATCCCTGATAGAAAAACTCGCATCGGATCGCATCGCGGAAGCAGAAAGTTAGATGCATGTTTGTACAGCTGTTTTTTTAACCCGCAATACGAATGCCTTGCATGAGTGGCATCGACATTCTAAGCACGCTTAGCATGCTCCATCATCCTAAGCATGCTGTGTTGCTTGTTCAAGAATACCACCATCTAGCCACTGTCACTGCACTTGAACGGGTAGCTTTGCCCCTGGCCTTTTTGCCAAAGGATCGTGGAAAAATGGACACTCCTCGCCATTCATGGTAACCACACAGGCCCTGAAATGTGCCGCGCTGACTCCGCCCCGTGCCGGATGCCTGCTAACCGCTGTAAGTACGGCTGGGCCGAACAGCTTACAATCTCTGGGACTCAATCCCAGAGCCAATGAGCAGCAAGTCTTTTTTAAGGAATGCCACGCACGTCTCCATGCCCCTTTTGTGGAGCGCCAGCGACCGCATTGGCCGTATTAGCGCTCAAGGGCCATAGCGCAAACGGGATTCGAACCCGGGCCCTCCATGCAGGAGCCCTACGCACCCACTCGACCGTTTCGTCCCTAGCGGTCAGTCCTCGATCCTAGCCCCTCGGCCACAGGAATGGCGAACAAGTCAGCCCGCTTACACACAAAACATGACAGCAGTCGACGACACGTTAAACCAAACTGTAATGTTGTTGGAAATACATACCCAGTGAAACGAAAAACATGTACAGGTTTGTTGTAGTATATTTAAGACCCAAAGCAGCGTGCAAAGCACCACGCCGCCGGCGCCGGAACTGCATAGTCGTAACACACCGCTCTGTTACGGCCCGCAGCGCCGGCCTCCCCGCGGTGCCGTCAGCTCGCCTTCTCCAGCACCGCACACCAGTTTCCCTGGTCGTAGTAGCTTTCCCGCACTACCAGGCCGCCGGCGCTGCGTGCGTCCTCCTCCAGCTCGCCTTGGCGGTACACGTGATAGTACCGATGGTGGACGCCAGACGGCAGCAGCTCCGCGCCGCCGCGCAGCTTCCACGGCACGAGCACGTCCTGCTGCTGGAACTCGGTGCGGTTGGTGTGCACAGGCAGAGGCAGCGCGGCCGCGTCCTCCGGTCGGCCGTCGGCGCCTGCGCGCTGCCGGCCGCGCTTGAGGTAGCCGGCGGAGCGCGCGCCCAGCCGCTGCTCCAGCGCCCAGACGTAGACCAGCGCGCGGCCGGCCGGCCGAAGCACGCGGCCCAGCTCGCGCAGCGCCGCCGTGCGCCGCTCCTGGGGCGGGGAAAGGCCACACGTCAGAGGGGGAGGGCCTGCACGGAGCGCAGCCGTTCCTGAGGCAGAGGGAGGCACGTCAGGAGACTGCCTGGGGCTCGGCCGCTAACAGCCAACGAAATATGTGGTGATGCATCCGACGAACCGAATCATGACCACGAATTTGACGCTGACTGTCAAACAGACAGCAGCCACCGCAAAGGCATTACAAGTGACAGGTTCCCCTGTCAACTTGGTAAGGAAACCCATACTTTATTTTCCCACGGCTCCCGCAAGAAACCCTTCCCGCACAAAACAAGTATCATACACTCTTCCCAAATCTCTTCAAAATACATTAGATTGGAAGGATTATGAAATCGGATAAATACACGCTGGAATGACCGCCGATAACTCCTCTTCACCAGATAGACAGGACGTCAGGCTCTCCATCCACAAGATCAGACGGTAGATGTGACGTCCTACATAAATCCATGTGACCACTGACCATTGTACCCATTCGCCTCCTATTTGGCCAGGTATAGCGATGCTCACCCGTGTGGCCAGGTGATGGATGACGGCGATGCAGATACAGGCGTCCACGGCACCGGAGCGGACCGGAAGTGGCAGACATCCGGCCGTCACCGTCTGGTGACCCCGGGCCCGACCGATAGCGCACAGCCGGGCGCTCTGGTCCACTCCCACCTGGCAACAGACGGCCAGGATTGAAATGCTACGTTAACTGGGGCGCGGTCGTCGAAGTAGCAGCAGTGAAGCGCAGTTAACAGAAGCTCGTCCGTTCGCGGCTGGAGACGCCTCTCGGTTTGAAACCATATTCTGGGCCATATATCATCACACGCACTACAACTCGAGTAAAAAAATACAGGCAAAGTCATGCCAGGATGCGAGACTCGAGAAGGCACTAAGGCGAAAATGCAAATATAGGAGGTGGTTATGGCCTTAAAAATTACAAACATGACATCGGTAGCCACACCCATCACAGCCGAGCTGTCAACGACGTCAGCCAGAGCATGCAGCACACAGTCGCCAACCGACGGATGAGCTCGGTGGCGCCCTGCCATCCCCGCCGAGGTGTCGGGCGGACCACCACCGACTCACCTCGAACAGGTGCCGGTTGAGACCAAGGTACTTTCCGTTGCCGCAGCCCACGTCCAGCAGCAGGGAGCCGGTCGGCAGCGTGCGCACGAACTGCTCGACACGGGGCCACGGCTTGTGTCGCGTGCAGCTGAAGTGGTCGGCGATGTTCTCGTACACCTGAGCAGGGGCGCCGCCGCTCAGCGAAGCTCGCGCATCCGAGACACGCCATCGGTCGTGCCTCGCCCTTCCCATCGCCTTCAGCATGACGTGGCGCCGCTCCAAACACGGCCAAAACTGGGCCAAACACGGCCAGACCGTGCAGTGCGTCACAGAACAACCACACCAAGGAAAAGAGCGCGCCTTGGCACACGCGGAGCACGGTGATCTGACAGTAACGGCACTGTCGCAGTATACCGCCAGACCTCGCGGCAGGACGGCGCGCCAACTGCCCCCACCGCGCCCAAACCGGAGCCTCACCTGAGCGACGTGCGTGCTCTCCAGTGTCCTGGAGAGTGCCGCCGTCTGCTCGGCGTCGGCGGCCGGCTGCCGCGAGTCGCACTGCTGCGGGTGCCGGCAGCGGCAGGCAGCGCGCCGCAGCCGGCGCAGGGTCAGCGACACGCGCGTGCCCCGCGGCGTCAGCGTCAGGTCGCCACCGACGCCGGCCGTCACGTCCGACTTGCGCGGCACGATGCCGTGGCTCCAGAGATACCTGGAGGCGGCGGCGCACGGCCGCAGGTGATGTCATCCGGTTGGACGTGGTTGGCAGGCCTGTTCGGACAGATCTGCTCGAGACTTAACCACCGATAGCATGGAACATGCTTAATTTGTACCAAAACGCATCGCAGGAACCATTGTTGAGCGCATCCTTCCATACAGTGTTGGATCTGGAAATAAAAATAGACCAGGGCAGGAAGGATGGGAGGGCATCTCACAATCGTGAACGCCAAACGACATTTCAGACAACTGAAGAAAACTCAGCACCGTCGCCCGGCGGACTCACCTGGCCTCGCCGTCCATGACGAGCGCCGAGCGGCGAGGCAGGCGCACGGCGGCGGTGGCGCCGCCAGGCGGCGGCCGGCTGAACTCCATGGTGGTGTCGGCGCCGAGGCTGACCGACACCAGCTGGTCCGTGAACGCGCTGTGGGTGTCCACGTGCGGTGGAATCCCCTGTTGGAGAAGGGGCAGTCGTCAGGGGCACACCGAGCTCGGCGAGGTTCCGTGCTGGAGAGGGGCCACCGGGAGCGCACAAAGCTCGGCGAGATCCTCTGCTGGAGAGCCGGCCGTCGGGGTTATGTAAAGACCGGCGAGAACATCAGGCTCGGTGCGGTATAGTGGCGATAATCCAGGAAATGATCGTGTAGATTAAAGGGAACGCAGAATTCGGGAAGAAGCAAAAACAGACCGTCTGGCAACCATCATCTCTTTGCACAGCGCAAAGCAATACTTACAAGCTCACCAGCAGCTTCCATTGGCTTGCCTTACCAGCATGCACCATTCTTGCCATTCACACAGGGCAAACCCAGGTTCTCTAGTAACTGTGAATGTGATTGGACTCCACGGACGATATGGTCGTTCTCACTTGGCCGGGCAGGTACCGGTTGATCGTCAGCTGGTCGGGCCGCTCTGCCAGCAGGTGGCGCGCCTGCAGCCGCTCAACCAGCGGCTCACACCAGGCGGGCAAGCCGCCGGGCAGCGGACGGGTCGCGTCCACGTTGTTGGTCGCGTAGTCAAACTCGTAGCCAAAGTGCTGCACCTGTGCAGGCCACCCGCGACCCGTGAGCCGTGCTGCAGTGTGCAGCGGAAGAAGGTGGCCGAACTGGACGATGACGTCACACGCGTGCCACACATAGAAGCCTCAAGAATGTAGATGTATCGAGAGAAGACGTTCATTATTGTTCATAATTGCATCATGGATGCATTGCTAGCCAGTTTGGAGGCAAGAAACAGACTACTTGTACTGACCTGCCTGTGCTTCATGCTGCCATCATCACCAAAGGTCAGCTGACTCAGAATATTCTGCTCCTCGGTCTCGTCCATAATGTTGGTGACAAGAGTCGCGCCGGGCGGCAGGGCGGTCGCCGCCGGAGGGCAGCACAGGGCGTCGGGTACTGGGTACGTGGACAGAAGGAGCATCATTACACAATCTTAAACTCATTAGAGAATTACTCCACCATATGCTGAAATGCTGCATCTGCTTCTCACTTTTTACCTACACATGATATGCTACAACCTGATAGCACATAGTACATCACAATAAATGTATATGGATGACAGGCATGACATCATGCATATGACATCCTGAAGCACAACAGCAAAACTGGCCACAAGGAGATATCGCACCGTCTTTCCGCATTAACCCACGCCCTCCCAGCTGCAGAACAATCACGTCGATCCCACAGCTCCCTTTGCGCGGCTCAGCCGGCGCCATGCACCTGACAGGAGCCCCACCTGACTCAGTGAAGGCCAGGTAGAGGACTGGCTCACAGCCGCGGCCGTCCAGCGCCTCCACGGCCCGAACAGCCGACTCCTCATCGTCGAACTCGACGAAACAGAACTGCCGGCCGGGCGCCATGCGCACGCGCCGCGGAGAGGCGTGCGGCAGGAAACGCTCAACGATTGACTCGCGGGACGCACCAGTGGTGAGGCCGGCATTGCAAACCACAACTGTCTGGAGAGTACACAGCAAGGGGAGATAATGTGGGTTAGGATGTCTTGGGAATTAACCCAAGACCACATGACATAAACATAAAAGTAGATCTCAGAAAAAACTGTTGGTAACAAAATAAACACTATTGGTATCCTCAAGATAGCTTACAAGCCTTTACCAAAAGATGCAGGGACTGACAACATTGGGGACAACATGCCATCTATTGGTTTGGGGATCAAAACATGCAGTAAAATGTTTCAACTTACATAATCATGCACTCATCAGTTGACATCTGACAAGACAGGGTTAACATTGTGCAAGGTAGCTATGCTCTAACAATGTAGATTTATCATGCCAGTGGTTGCACATCCAGTATGGAAAATCTCATATACCATAGTTTGACTTCAAATGCCCTTAAATTTCAGCATATTGCATGAGCTACTATGCATTTCAGCACATCAGATCCACAAATCAGGGTATGAACCATGCAAGAAATGCCTCAGTTCTAGCTAAAATACAGAAAATAACAAAATGACAGTTCATAAAAATAAAGCAAATTGCATTACATGGCACAGCAGAGCTGTTTGTCCAGGTCATTTAACACAGGGGTTAAGTGACATGTGGCCTTTCAGGGCATAGCTACAATTAGGTGGCATGTATGACTGCATGTAGGCCACATTTTCATATGGTTTTCAGCAATGCCAATAATGTATTCATATGTATTGCATGGTAACACACATGTAAGGTCATCCATGTCATAATATATGGTAAAGTAACATTTGCTCTTAACCCTACACAGGTTTTAACTAATGTAAAACATTAAAATACACACTCCCATCAAGCCAAAATAAAACACGGGGACACACTGATCACCAATCCCTCTGTGATGATTTGGGGATTTAGGGCGCATCGACTGCTAAAGGTCATGCAGCGCCCATAACTATATCACCAATCCCTCAGAGGGCCTTGAACACTTGGACGTTTAAGCAAAAAACATCAGCCCAGATATTAATATCCCAACCTGAGTTGGATGAGAGGTGAGACTTATACCCTCCTTCGAACAAAGAGCAGCTGTTCGTTGCTTCTTTCTCCGGATCTTTTTATCTTGTTTATCCATCGCAATATAAAGCACATACAACAGATGTTCGGGTATGTCAGGATGATATTGAAAGTACTTGTATAGCTATGGCGAATGCCTATCCGGTGCTTCGCATGGGAACTAAAAGTCGTATATGAAACAACAGTGCAGTTATTGTATGCAAATCCGGGCTTCAATAAATTCGTTTCAAAGTTGATTTAAAAGTAAGGCTTTTGATATTCTTAACTCCAAAAAAAGAAACCAAATTAAATGCTAATTTTTTTTATTGAAACTGATAATTGGTCTGTAATTGTCGTGTTTGTTTTTCTTTATCACTTAACTTGGGCAATTTATTATGTCCGTCAAACCGGCGCATTCGACGCACTCAGCGCGCGTGCCTTCGTTCCAAATTTGTTCGCCCCGTTGGTCGTTAGTCGCCTTCCCGATTGAAATTGAATGTAGCGGTTGACGAGTGTCGGCGGTCGTTTGGTTGCTTAAGTCGGCCCGGTGCGGCGCGTCAGCGTTGCATACTGAAACCCTAGGGTAAGGGTTACTTTGGTAGCTAAAATTGAGGGAGTTTTTAAAGCGTGGTATACTTCGCTCGGCAACCCTAAACCCGGCATGGCGTCATCTGCGCGCCCGGTCATGAGTCAGTTTTCACGCAGCCTTTTTAGAGGTTACTTATGAGGCGCATTGGGATTGAATTAATTGTTTCTGTGCTGCATTGACTCTGTTTGGTAACTTGCATTGAGTGAAACAATTTTCTTCAATGCTCTGTGTTGCATAGTCACTTTGATTACCTGGTCGACAAACCATGGCACAGAGGCTAACAAAATGCTTGGAGCAGACAAAATCCTGTTCTGCCCCAACAGGGTAGCAACCTGCCTCACTTGGTACATATTTTGTATACATCCCCCATAATCATGGCTTACCATCTAATTCTTGTCATTTGCCATGGTGTTACCTGTTTTGAACATCAAAGAACACTTTATGATGGTCTTGATACTCCAGTGCAAAATTGTTGGCCCAAAGCTTTCGTAACTTGCCCCTACATTGGAAATTGTGCACCTTATCTACCTCATCAATATCTTATCGAATCTGCCATGGTTTGCATGCTGGGTGATCCTAGCAACACATTTCATCATCTGCAGGGACAAATGCTGCCATCACTTAGGAATTGAGAGTTACACTGAATGTCATATTTGTACCCATGGATTTAGCTTGTACAACAGCCCTTTATATTTTTGATGTTGTATGATGCTCTCAATCAGCTCACTTTTGCTACAAAGTTAGGATTCATGATGTTATCCTTATGGCTGTCATTGATACTTTTCTTCACCCTAATGAATCCAGTTATTTCAGGTATGGTTTGTGAAAATGACATTGGTACAGGGCTTACATAACTTGAATATAGTTATTCAGTACAAACAAAACTTATACAATATGAGATATGCAGTATTCATATGGCTTAGGTGCACTTTCCTTGACAGGAATTCAGAATATGATTATTTCAGCTGCTTTAGGTTGATAGGACTGAAATCTCCTCAGGCCCAGAACATCAAGAAGCTGCCATGTTCCACGCACTGATTGTTTCTGCCCATGGCTTATGGTGCATGGAGCCAAAGATGAGTAAATCTTGAAAAATGAACTTGTCTTTTGACCAAGCACAAAATGATGTTGACTGCTTGTAATAGGAAATATTCTGACAATGCTTCACAACCAGTGATGCTGTGCAGGCATGGGTAATCAAAGTTATGCTGCTTAACCTCATAAGTAAAATTAGGCATTAGCACAACACACTGCCAGGGCTACATCCAGGCTGTCACTCTTGGGTGGAGTGGATATGCTCGCTTGAGGCTAAGATTCCAAAAGGTGTCCTGATTCAAAATATGTACATATGTTGAATATATATGTATATATATATATATATATATATATATATATATATATATATATATATATATATACACATACATATATACATATATAGGCAATGTTCTATTATATATGCACCCACACACGCTCAAGATAAAAAGCTGCCAACAGATATGGTGCTGAAGCCCTGGCCTAAGTTTGCCATAGTCCTGTACCCCATGACTGGTCTGTGTCAAAACCTGATGGCTTTTGTGAGTACTGGTACCAGGATGTCACCTGTGTGCCCAAACTGATGATCTGTGGGACCAAACTGGCAAATGGATAGGGTAATGTGATGACTTGCATCATCAAGCTGGAAATAGTGAGTGCATTGCTGTCATCAGACTAAGCACTCAAGAGCCACACTTTCAGCAGTTCAGTTGCAAGGAGGTACTTATTCTACATGCATTTACAAACAAATCAAGGGAAGCTTTGCAGGATGACAAAAATGGTGGTGTGTTAAACTGTTTACCTTCCAAAGGTTTCTGACAGTGAAAACACAATCATAGAAACATATATTTCACAAGTGAATGATGCTGACTGCACATATCTTGACAATGCCCATAACAGCTCACCTGCTCTTGATGGTTCCCATATACACAGGTGCGGGTCAGTGACCATGGCAGACGCCACTGAGGGCGTGTGGGCGCCGTTTGTGAAGCTGAACCAGCTCGTAACCGACGTGGTGGTCAACAAAGATGTCAGCCAGCTGCCCGAGCTGGAGGCGGCGCTCCGTCGGCACAAGACAAACTTCATCTCACTGCTGAAAAACCCAGTCAGTGTCTGGCTGTTGTCTGGATCAGTTAGCATGCTTGGGTTGTGAGGGACCTTTATTGTACAATTTAAGAAATCCTGCATCATTTTTGTCCTGTTTTTTGTTCTTCATAAGTAATAAAGTCTGCCATAAGCAAGCAGTCTGTGAAAGAATCTAGCATAGAATCGTAAAAAAGTCAGTCAGCAAAAAGTCTGGCATAAGTAAGCAGTGTCACCTTGAGCACGGCCAAGTCGTGCTGTCGACGGTGCTGTGCGCCTGTTGGCGCGTCTTTGCTGACTGGAGCGCTCCCGCCTCAGGCGCCCAGCGCCGCGGACCGGGCGCGGCTGAAGAAGGCGCCCAAGGAGGGGCTCGACGGCGCCGGCGGCGAGCTGCTGCCGCAGCTGGTGGTGGACGAGGCGCTGATCGTGTCGGACCTCTTCAAGCTGAACGAGCTGACAGCGCTCCACCTCCTGCAGACGGGTGGGTGTCCGCAGGCGGGTAGTGAGGGGCTGTCTGGTCCAGGAGGGGTTAAGGCAATTGTTGTCACGAGGTAGGAGTGGCCGGTCCAGACAACTTCTGCCCACTTTCTGGCCTTCACACTGCGCCAGCGAGGCCGACATGTCACCTTTGATACCGCGCACGCCACCACTATCTGTACCTTTGTTTCGTGGCCCGCGTCTGCGCACAACGTGGCCACATCTCCGAGCCTGACCTGGTGCATGTGTGGGCGGCGCCTGACAGGCGAGGCGCAGCGGCCCCACTACCCAGGCCTGACCCGCGGCCTGGTGGCCATCCTGCTCTACTACGACGGCCGTCGCGCCCTCGTCACCGCCCTCAAAACACTGGTCCAGGTTAGTCGGTGCTGGCTGCGGCTGCCGCGCCTGAGAGCCGAGGCGGCCGTTAACTTTGGCGAAATGCCGCGCAGCAGTTGCTGTTGGCAGGCTAAAATCAAGCCTGGCTTACAGGGCTGACATTTCAATGATGAAAGCTTCTGCGGGAGGTCCCTGCTCGCGTGTGACGATTTGTTTTGCTGATGCCCGTGTTTGCCAATGGGCCACATGCTTCCGTTTACTTTGCAGTACGTGAATATGGTAAGTGCTGCATTCCCAACTGGGAAAAGATATGCGTTTGTTCATTGAATAAGCTTATGATAATCCGTTGACCCATTTCGCTCTTTGGAACTGACCAAGATGGCAACAAAACACCAGCCATATCACCAGCAGTATCCTCTCAGGCTGACTGTGCGGCGCGCGGTCTGTTCCAGGCGAGGCAGGGCATCTGCTGGACGTCAGATCTGCCGGAGAACATATCGGCCCACGTGACCATGTACACCGACAAGATTCTCGGCGATAACATGCTGGACAAGATACTGGGTAAATAACCTGCCATAGGTCAGGCGTACCATGCACTGTGGTCCGAATGTCGAAATTCACAGGCAGATTGTTAAATCTGTCAATGCATAGCGGAACCTGGCAGAGTGTGTAGCAAACCTACCATTGCAAGTTATCATCCTTAATCAACATCGCCGGGGCATGCCGGGGCGCATTTCCGGAGGGAGTGTGCGCTGGGACCGTAAAGCGGCCTTCTGAATACCGCCTGGTGGCCCCAACCAAGAAGGACGCGTGTGTGCGGGCCGCGACCTCCCAGCCGAGCGAGTCGCCTAAACCGCCAGCTGAGCCAGCCCCATGACCTGGCCGCTTCAGAGCTGCTGCCCACACTCGACTGGGAGTGCGAGGTGAAGAAACTGGAAGAGTGCCGCGCGCTGGGCAGTGCCCGCTTCCTGCGCCAGCTGTCTGACATGCACGCCGAGACGCGCCAGGCGCTGGCCGACACGGTGCTGTGTTGGACGGCCCAGGCGCCGCTGGCATGGCCGCTGACCTGCCGCCTGCTGGAGTACATCCGCGGGGTCAAGGTCGGTCGGCTGGAGGTCAAGCCTTAGCCGTGGGAGACGAGGAGGACCGGGAGGAGTGTCACTGAACGGGGGCGGGGTGACGAATGGCCAGGGTGGAGTACGTTATGTTGGGGGGCAGGCAAATGACGCTAGTGGTAATTGGGACGTCTTATTTGGGACGCGGGCAGCAGCTCTGCAGCCATTGATCGCCTGCACACACTGCACCATTATCAGGGCTGTGAACTGTGACCGGCCCGCACGAGACCACGTCTCCCAGTCGTCTGGGCGATGTTCATCTGTAACCTGAGCCACATGACGTATCGGCGCTCGGCTCAGCTGACCAGTCGGCCGGCGACCCTTGACCCATGACCTGACCTGTCGGCAGGTGACCGGACGGGCCGGCCAGCTGGGCAATGTTGACCTGACGCTGCTGATGGCTCTGCTGTATAGCATCAGCGTCTCCCGGGTGCTAAAACGACAAGGCGCCGAGAGTAAGCGATCGTTCACCATAGTCGGACCCTATCGCGCTGAGTTAAAAACGAAGATAATTTGTTCTGTGCCAATTGTCATTCATGCCTTGCAAATGGGCCGGGAGAAGGGTGGGGGGAGGGGGGTGGGGGTGGCTGGCCATAGCGGGTTTTGCCATCGTCACGATACGTTTGTGTGTTTGTCGAGCGAGCTGGTGCGCCTGGTCGTACGGTACTAAACTCTGGCTCCGACACGGCCACCTCTCCAAAGTCTCTTCAGCGCCGTCAACTTCTCGTAAACTGAACTGCTTGCTGCTCTGAGCTGAATTACTTGCTGCTCTGAACCGAATTACTTGCTGCTCTGAACTGAACTGCTTGCTGCTTGTGAGCTGAGCTGCCTGCTATGCTGAACTGAACCGTTTGCTGATCTGCGCGACGTGCTCTATCTGCTGGACATAACATATGTTATGTAGATTCTTTCCACACCGCTTCATTAAGCCCGGGTTCTTCTCGTGTTTCGAACTGACTCCAACAGCATGTGACTCCGCCTGTAACCAAAGCGAAGAATCGAGAACAAGCCTCTTCGGTTCGGAGGTGTCGGTGCAGAACTCTGGTAACCCCATCCCGCCACCCGTTGGCCTCTCGCCGGCCCACCCAGCCGCTCTCCCGTACCGCCTCCTACTGACGCGCCCCGCGGCCTCGCGCAGCGCTGCTACGTCAGCTGCCGCTGCTGGCGGACGCGGAGCTGGCGCCGCAGCTGCACGCCCGGCTGGCCGAGGGCGAGGCGCGCCTGGAGCCGGAGAGACCGGCGCACGAAGAGCCCTGGCAGACGCCCGGTCTGCGCGCCGTGCTCCAGTTCGCCTGGGCCATGACGCTCAGCTCGCTCCGGCCGCTCGACTACGCTTGCAGAGGTGCGCAGGCAGGGGGGTGGGGGGCGGGGGGTGGGGTAGCCAGGGGACAGGTGAGCGGCGGCATCGGTGGGAGGGTCGCGGGGCAGGCGGGGCGAGGTCGCCAGGGGACGGGTGAGAGGCGGCATCGTTGGGGGGTCACGGGGCAGGCGGGGAGGGGTCGCTAGGGGACGGGTGAGAGGTGGCATCGGTGGGAGGTCACGGGACAGGCGGGGTGGGGTCGCCAGGGGACGGGTGAGAGGCGGCATCGTTGGGGGGTCACGGGGCAGGCGGGGTGGGGTCGCTAGGGGACGGGTGAGAGGTGGCATCGGTGGGAGGTCACGTGGTGGATAGTGCTGCGAGAGGTATGAATGGGTTGGGTTTGTGGGTTGGCAGTTGATGACGCGGATTGCGTAGATCTGCCATAACAACTACAAACACTTGGTCGTCGGTCATCGATGTTGCCACATGGTGGCCCCACGGTAGGCAGGCCAACCCGACGAGGAAGCGGCGTCAAGCAGGTTTACAGTGTCAGCCCTGGGCTTAAATGTATTGTCAACGTCTACAGGTAGGGCATGCGGCGAAAGGCTAGGTAGGATGGGTCCGCAGAAGCATCGGTGATCTCATTTAACGCCTATCGCCTTTGAGTCCATCAAGCCCTTTCGATGTGCATGACAGTTGCGTTGCAATACATCTAGCCCTGAACTCAGCCAACTGGTTGATGAGATTTGCATTGTTCTGGTGAAGGTTCTGGGAATGGAGAGCTGGCCAGGATCATCGAGAAGGACGAGATCCTGGCAGACATGGCCATCAAGGACGGGGCTTTCCTCCATATGCGGGAGAAGATGCTGGCCAATGAGATGTTCCACACAGAGGTTAGTTCAGAAACGTTTTAAACCACATTTTTCGTAGTCCCCACTCGTGGTTTACTGGTATGCAGCTGCTGATCACCGAACTGTCCAAAACTGCTTTGACACCGTACCCCACATGCGTGCAACAGCGTCCATGAGGGCGTCATGCTTAATCATGCGACTGCAGTGTCCAAGCCAGCAGTGTAGTGGTCTTTAATACCACCCGAAACGTCGTTCATCGAACCGGTTGTGGTGTGCAGCAGCCCGGCGCCCGATCCTACCCTACCCTCGTGCCATGCCGTCTCGCTGTCTGCGCGTGCAGGAATTTTTCGTGCGGCACCTGCACGACCTGATGTCGGAGCTGATGGACGCGATGCCGCTCAAGCTGAAAGATCTGCGCAACCGCGCCGACGAGGCGGCGCACACCATCCAGATGCACCAGCAGGTCAGCGAGCCGTCGCGCCGGCGAGGGGCCCGATGCGCGGGCTTGGCGCCGGACGTGGGTCTCGGTTGTGATGTATCGTAGCGCTGTCCGCTGTGCCACGGTGTGGCGATGTTTGTCTCTGAACTGTATGCGATGGTGTGGTGTGTGACGTTATTGTCTGTGGGCCCTTGCGGTGGATGTCCGTCGATTTCAGTTTTGAAAATGCTGCTGATCGGTCGCCAATTAACATCAGCGTGTCCTTTACCCGCCGCTATTTCCACAATACTGTTACGATGGTCATATTTGGAGGCGCATCTGCGATTCCTATCTTACACGGCAAACACCAGTCATTATCGGAGTGCTATGTCGCCTGATCGGATCGGGCCGGATCAAACCGGATCAAACCGGCTTGAATCGGATCGTGTCGGATCGGATCGGATCGGATCGGATCGAGTCGAGTCGAATCGAATCGAATCGAATCCGACCGGATCTGACGTCAGCGGATGTCTTCCCTCGCAGGAGGGTCTGGAGCCGCCCGAAAACCTGCCGCGGCATTTTGAGCAGCTGCTCCGGCTGCTGACGGCTCTGTACGAGCGCGACCCGCTCGGTCTGGGGCTGTCGCGCGGGTACTGGGTCACCGAGGCGGCCAACCACAGACAGGTGAGAGCTGGCACCAACCCTGTCCGGCCACCGCGTGGGCGCGGGGCGTAAGTCGTGTCGCCCATGTGTACTACGAGTAGTAGTATTATACTACTAAAGTGCAGTGGAATTTCGCCGGCCCAACCATCGTCGAGTCGGGCTACAGCCCGCCCCTGCACGCAGTTTGCTGTGTTTCGTTGAAGTTTTGGGACACTGCAGGCCAATTCGATCTGTTGACTCGGTTTTCGTAACACTGACTCCTGCCGCTTTTCGAGTCATCTCCCAAAGCACACTTTGCTAGTCGGAGGGTCTGGCTGTGTAGACACGCCGGAGGTCGCTGCGTCGTCCGGGTATCGTGCCTGCTTGTGTTCCTGCCATCCATTCACCCGTACCGTGACCCTGGGACTGGGACGTGCCGCAGCCGTCGCTGCACAAGTTCGTGCGGCTGGCCGGTGACCTGCTGCCGCCGCCGCTGTTCGTGCCGTACGTGGAGCTGCTGGCGGCGCTGGCGGCCAGCCCGGCCACGGCGCCGCACTGCTTCAGCCTGCTGACGGCGGCCGGCACGCCGCCGCCGCTCAATCTGGCACACTTCTTCAGCTCGCTCCACCAGTACTACAACAGCCTCATGCGCGAGGTGGGCCGCCGCCGACGCTGGGGAGGGGAGGGGTGGGGGGGGGGTCAGCTGCGCTCCAGACACAGCCGTGGAGCCTGTTGACCGCGGTGGTCCGGTGCTCAGTGGTGTCGGGGTGATGGTTCACGGTCACCTTGGAATTTCTGTCCGAAGGGATGCTGTTGTATATGATGATAGTACTGATATGGACAAGGTGGAGGACCGGGCCATATGTAATATGACGGGTCAGGGTGTTAGTGTGCACTGTATGCAATATGCTAATGTCGGAGAGGGTATCCGTTGTACATATGCTCTTAGAGTCACAACAGGGCTTATAACAAAACATTACTCCCTGCCGCCACTGCTGTGTGTCCTTCCATCCCCGGCTCTAGTCTGTCCCGACCCCTGACACCAGGTCAGGTCAGGTCGGGACAGTAGGTCCCTGGGCGTGACCCAACTGACCTCTCACGTCGCTGCAGGCTCCTTCAGAGCGTGACCCGGCTGACCTCTCGCGTCGCCGCAGGCCCCGTCCATGTCGCGAGTGGAGACCTACGCCAGCGCGACACCCGCCTCCAAAGGCTTGACGGCGCGGCAGCTCAAGGACATGGTAGCCATGCTGCGCCTGGTGGCCGTCATCGCAGGTACGGCTGACGGCGAGACGAGGAGGATCGCGTGCGCTTAGATCGGACACCAATGGACGGGGCATGCGTGTTGCTGCGACGCGTGCGGGACGGGTGCCTCATTTTCAAGCGCAACCGTAAATTGAGCATCAACAATGTCCACCGGGCGTAGCGGACATGCTGACAAACACAATGGAGACACGTTGAGCAGTTGGCGGCCGTGGCGGTACCCGCCGATGGATCATGTAAGGGCTTTATTGTGATCAGTCGGGTGCGAGTTGATGCGGACGGGCTCCATGTGCCGGAGGTGTCACAAGTGCTTCAAAAAGTTCGGGATTCAGAGGCTCGCCTGCCATACTCCGCCGTGCCGGGAGGCCGGATCTGTAAGCTGTGCGGCGTGATGCAGCAGTCTGGCGTGGCGCACTCGGGCCACTTCACGGCCCACTGAACACCTCTAGTTGGGAGTCTGGCACGAGCACAGTGACTCTACAGTCCAGTCCATGCGCATGCACCGCGCCAACAGCTGCAAAACGTGCATGGTATCATGGTATCAAGCGTTTTTTTTTTTAGCTGGCCGGTCATTGACCTGGTGCGGCCCTGAATACCAGTGCTCGAAAGAGTTGGGGAGGGCTGGTCTCCGGAGACGATGTGTCGCATTATTAGTCGGCTGGTGGCTGTGAATGACCCGCGTTCATTTCCGTCGCAAGTATTGTCCGCAGACCACGCCTGTCCGCCAAACACGACGCTCAGTCCCGCGGACGAGGTGCCGGCTGCTGGCCGTATGCACCCTCGTCCCGACACGCCCCGAGTGTCCTCACACCCTGAGCGTCCCCCGTCCCGACACGCCCCGAGTGTCCTCACACCCGGAGCGTTCCCCGTCCCGACATGCCTGAGTACCCGTACACCCGGCGTTCCCCGTCCGACACGCCCGAGCGTCCCGTCCCGACATGCCCTGAGTGTCCTCACACCCTGAGCTTTCCCCGTCCCGACACGCCCTGAGCGTCCCTGTCCCGACACGCCCTGAGCGTTCCCCGTCCCGACACGCCCTGAGTGTCCCCGTCCCGACACGCCCTGAGCGTCCCCGTCCCGACACGCCCCGGGCGTCCCCGTCCCGACACGCCCTGAGCGTTCCCCGTCCCGACACGCCCCGGGCGTCCCCGTCCCGGCATGCCCCGGGCGTGCCCCCCCCCCCTGCCCGTCCCGATATGCCTCGAGCGTGCTCACGCCCTGACGTCGTGCTGGCACCCGTCCGCAGAGAACGACGCCTCGTCGCGGCTGGTGATGTGCGAGACGCCATCGTGGCCGCCGCTGGTGGTGATGCTGCGCCTGCAGACGTGCTCCGTGCCCGGCCAGGCGAAGACGCAGCTGCTGCTGACGCTGGCGGCGCTGGCCCGCTCGCCCGAGGTGGGCCAGGCGCTCTGGCAGGGCCTGGAGCAGGCGCAGGTTCTGCAGACCACCCACGTCATGCCCGGCCAGCAGGCGCGCGGCATCAAGGTGACCGACCGGCGGACAGACAGCCAGATAGTGGGAGGGAGAGGGGCTGTATGGGCGTGCTGGAGACTGTGCGAACACCTTTCGCGGCCTCTGCGTCGCCGCCATATCCTGTGCGCTTCTACTGTGAACTCTATGTCTCCGTCACGCTTCTTGGAGGTCTTTGATTTCTTGTTTGTCACCTGCGATGGTGTACGTAATGTCCCCAGATGATTATTGGACAATGGCAATGTGTAGCGCTGGCCAATGCTGCCCGGAAGTAGTGCCGCGGTGCCCCACTCTTCGTGGAAGTAACGAACTGACGGGGCGCGCGAGGCTCAGTCCCCCGGCTCGTCTGTGTCCGTCCTTCGCTCTGTGTTGTAAAAACAGCTGGTGAACGCAGCTGGCCCCTGGCCGCTGTCGGAGAGACATGCCGCCGGCCGCGGCCGCCGCTGCGAGAGTAACAGTTGGGGTTCTCTGAGTGGCCGCCGACCAATGGCGGCCATCTCGTTCCGCCCCGAACACGCGCTCGGCTGGCAGCTACAGACGCCCCAGGGTCAGCTGTGTGCTGCGCTATGGCAGTGTGGTCTCGACGTGGTGAGCGTCCTGCCGATGATTGCGTGGAGCTGGCGGCTAGTGGTCAGAAGACATGAAACAACTGATGGGCGGCTTAGCCGCCTGTCCGCCCGCCGACCCCAACGCTATGACGCCTCCCCCCCCCCCCACGCCGGCAGATGGAGCTGGAAGAGGTGGAGGCGCGCGCCGAGCAGTTCGCGCAGACGCGCGCCTTCCTGCGCCTGCTGTCGGTGCTGGTGGACGCCGGCGTGCCGGCCGGTCTCGGCGCCGGCCTGCGCGCGCCCGGCATCCATCCCCACCTGGGCTTCGTCATTCACGACGTGCTGCTCAACTACAACAGCAGGGCTTACAAGGACCCGGCTGAGAAGGTGAGGGCGAGCGGCCGCGCGTCTCCCCGCCGCCGGGCCGGTCGCAGCCGCGTGCTGCCCTGGCTGTGTGGGCTTGGGGTTATGTTTGGGTAGCAACAGAATGTGTAATCTAGTGGCGGCCTAAGGCGGCGTATCTCGTCAAATGGTGCCAGTCTGGAGGAGTCTTGTGTCTTTATGCCCCGCTAGAGTTTGTGTAGAGACGAACTTAAACCAGATGCTTCCGACATAATTACGCATTCGGCTGTGCTAAAACTGATGCCGGCACAATATGCTTGCAGTGCTCTTGATGAAGCGTGACGGGATAGATTGGACGCAACGTCACGAAAGCCATATGGCGTTCGGTTCGCCCTACTGCGCGCTGAAAGCCGGGCATTAAGTGTCATGTTTATTACTCCGCGTATTCGTCGCTGGATAAGTATAATATTATGTTGTGTGAAGCAGTCAGAAGCGCGGCAAGCACGCAGCGTCGGCTTTTAACGCAGCCACATGCAGGGTGCACGTCTGGACCACCTGGTGTGGACTGGCCGTAGCAGCAGCTGGGCCGTGGCCGGTGTCTCAGAGACAAGCCATCGGCCGCGGCCGCCGCTGCGAGAGCAACGATCGGGGTTCTCTGAGTGGCCGCCGACCAATGGCGGCCATCTCGTTCCGCCCCGAACACGTGCTCGGCTGTGTTCGGCGTAGGTCTCCAATGGCAATGGCGGGAGGGGGCGAGCCGTGGGGATGAGTAGCGGTACATGGCCCATGTCATGGGACCGGAGTGGGAAGTGTTTATCAGTCGCCAGGAACGTGAGGCTACCTCCGGATTAGCTGTCGTATGTTTTCCTGCTGATGCCCCCGAGCGCGTGCGTGTTACCACCGTCTGCGGCGGCTGGAGGAGGCCGCGTGCCCTGCCTTCACGGGCGCCGCACCCCCGGCAGTACGAGGTGGCCGCCGACTGCTTGGAGATCCTACTGAAGCTGGTGAACACCTACGACCCGACGGCGGGCGAGCTGGGCCTGAGCGTGAACGGTGACCTGACCTCGGGTCAGCCGGGCGCCGCCGTTGTGCTCCAGCTGATGCAGCGCTCCAAGCTACTCAAGCTGGTGAGGGGCGAGCCGACGGCGTCACCGTCTGCAAATCACGGAAGCTGTGCCGAGCAAACACCGCGCCTGTGTTCATACGTATGCAAAGCATGCACTGACAGTAGGCCGTGCGAAGCAATCAGAAGCGCGGCAAGCATGCGGCGTCGGCCTAACACAAAGTATGTTTGTCTCCGATTTGTGCTGCTGTCGGATGTTACGCTTTACATTTATCTGCACCCATCGACGTGTACATGCGTCGTGCGTACGAAGCTTGGTACTTCACGCGAGAGTTAGCGACTCTAAATCCGCCGAAGAATTTGAAACTCAGCCAGCGTAGTCGTGCGCCACACTGCAAGTGTGAGGAAATCCTGAACGATTGACGTCTTAAACAAGGTATCAAATCATACCAGGCCTGTCTGGGATGTTCACAGCGCGTGCCGTCTCGCATCAGTACCGCGCCACTAACGCCTCTGCCGCTCCCGCCGCCGCTCCTCCCAGGTGCTGTCCATCCTGGACGAGGCGTGCCGCCAGCTGGGCGAATACCGCGACGTGGCCGGCCGCGCCAGCGTCGAGCGCTGCTCGCTGCTGGCGCTGCGCCTGCTGGAGGCGGTGCTGCGCCAGCAGCCGGCGCTGCTGGCGGCGCTGCGCTCGTCGGCGGCGCAGCACCCGGAGGCGCCGCTGCTGCCCGGCCTGGACATCGAGCTGCTGGCGGCCAACCCGCGCACCGGCGCCGGCGACCTGATGGTCATGTTCACCAGGTGGGTGTGGTGCCGTCCGAGGCGGCAGATGGACGGGCCGTGGCGGCCGGCTGCGTCACTGTCAGTGGGTAGCCAGGGCAGGGAGACGCCATGGTGTTGCCGATAAGGATCGGGTTGTCTGACGTTCTGTCCGTGAGGTGCTGTTGCGGGGCCTGGAGCGGCATTCTCTGTCGCGACGGTCATGTTCACCGGGTTGGGACGGTCTTGGTGGGCTGGTGACACCATCGTAAGGTTAGAGGGACGACTGGGTAGCTCAGGAACGTAGGAACGTCTGGATCGACCTATAATGTACAGATCCAAACATCCGGCTGGCGGCGGGCGGGACCTTGTCGCCAACGCCAGCGATCAACCAACCTTTGACGTTAAAAACCTATTAGGACAGACAGTCCCATCAATCCTATATCTGCCCTGTGCCTGCGCCGACGCCCGCCTGACCTAAGTCAATCCTGGGGATGCCTCGTCGGCTGACCTTGTCGCCCACGCGACAGTCAGGAGCTTTTCCTGGCAGGTTGTGGGTTATCCGGGCCATCAGACACTGTCGGGCGCTCTTGCCAGTCCAGACACGGAGCGACATCAGCGGTCGTGCTGCGCCCGGCCCGGCCATGGGGCGCTGCCGCCCAGACCAGCCCCCTAACCTGTCCATGACCGTGTCGACCGCTGCCGGACAGGTACCTGGGCTTCGGCGGCTGGCTGCCGGAGCACGCGGCCAGCGCGGCCGGTGTGCTGGAGCTGGTGTGTCGGCGCGCCACCGCCCAGGGCCAGCTGGTGGCGCTGTTCTCGGCGGACGCCGACACGTTCGCCGAGGTCATGTACTCGTTCGTCGAGAGTCTCGACGCGGACGTGGTGCGTATGGTGTGACTGTGGCAGTCGGCGGGGAAGCGGGGCGTTGTGTGAATGGCGGAGAACGGCCCAGAGTCGAAGGCGTGACGACTCGTAAAGCGCCATCGGCCGTCGGCTGGGCCAGACGGCTGGCATCATTGGGGAATCGCTCGGCTGGCGTGGCTTCGGAGGAGTTATGAGCCGTTGGGGCTGACATTACTACCTTAAACCACGGTTCCATCGCTGATCCATTACAAAGCCTGCAGCTCTCGAAGCAGGGCTCACTCCACAAGCTGCACGCTGCGCTCTGTAGCCCCACGCACGCTCCACCAACCGAGATGCGCGTCAGTGTTTCCTGGGATGGCCCCGCAGTGTAGAATGCCAATGACGTCAGCAATCGCTGCGTGGAAGAATGCCCGACGATAAACAGTCACCGTGAACGGCCTGCTCAGCTCCCAGCTGCCGTGCGGCCGCCTCTCCGCCCGCTGTTCTCCACCGTCGCCCGCTGTTGCCTCAGCCGGAGGACGCCGCGTCGCCGGCGCACGTGGCGCGCTGCCGCGTGCTGGACCTGCTGATCGCCTGCCTGCGGCTGCCGGGCGCGACGGTGGCGCACCTGCTGCTGGGCCTGGCCAGCGCCGGCGGGCTGCAGGAGCCGGGCGTCATGGGCGCGGCGCGCACCTGCCTGCACGCGGTGCTGGCGCAGCTGACGGCCGGTCTGACGGCCACCGCGCCGCCGACCTTCGCCGCCCGCTGCCCCGCTGTCGCCGACAAAGCCTACCAGGTGAGCGCGCCGGTGCCTGGCGACGTGCCGTGGGAGTGACGGGCTGCGCTGGTGAGGGTGGCGTATGTGGAACATGTGGCGAGCGCATTGATAGGGAGTTGAGTGTGGTGTGGGTGGGATTGCCGTAAGGGGTCGGGTGTGGGGAAGCGTTGTCAGTTCTGACGAAAGGACGCGGGGCAGAAGTTGATAATGTTTTGAAAGGTTTGCCATTCTTTACTTGCGCTGAACTCCTTGCCGCGTACCGTGCCGCATCCACCGCACATGCTACTCTTGTGGATGCACTCCCTGACGCCCCCCCCCCCCCGCATCCCCTTCGTCTCAGGTGGTGTACCTGCTGTGCGCGGCGCCGGAAACGTCCGTCCAGACGCTGCGTTACCTGCGCTCCGTGTACGACTTCATCTACAACCAGCTGCGGCCGCTGCCGGCGCCGTCAGCCGGCCTGCCGCAGCTGCGCCACCTCACCTGGCTCCTCCGGCTGCTGGCGCTCGAGCTCAAGGTGCGCGGCCCGGGACTCGGCCCGGCGGCCGTCACGGTGCGGTCGCCCGAGCGAGGCGTGACGTGGTGGTGTCAGCTGACCCCGGGGCTGACGGGGCTGGGGGAGACAGCACGGAGTAGACGCTATCTTTTGGATAGGCGTCGCTGTGCTGCGCACCTGCTTTGGCTGTCGTGTGTCTGCGTACGAGCTATGTGGCAGCCGTGGTGTGTCGTTGATGCACACACGTCTGACCTGACTTGACCCCGTGTGACTGACCGTACCCGGTGGGCGCAGCTGACTGCCGCCAGCCAGCAGCGCTCGCCGCTGGTGCGTCTGACGGGCCTCCTGCTGAGCACGGCTCCGGCCGCCGGGCTGCAGCTCGACCTCACCGGCATGGACATCTCGCTCACGCTCAGCCAGACCCTGACCGGCGCCACCGCCGGCAAACGTGAGAGCCCGGCGCTGCCCGCGGGCGGGGTCGACCCGTGGCGTAGTGTGGTGGGACAGCGGTCAGAGTCGGGGTGGGTAGGCTAGGTCGGGCTGACCCGGGACGAGGTCAAGCCTTTAGTGGTGTGGCCGTGCAGCAGTAACTGATCCGGTCCGGCCGTTCTAGTCTTGTTGAAACTATACACGGGTTAGTCATGCGGGAGCGGTCATATGCGTTGCGTCTTGAACGTGGGCCATGTACCGGATCGGAAGATTGTTATGCGCCATGAAAGATGCAGTGGGAAGTACTCAGGCACTCCGCGACAGCTTTTACCGACTGTGGCTTCCGCGACACGTACCCGACTCGGCGAGCCTCGGTGCGCAGCGCACGCCCTCTGAATACGTATCTGTAGTGGGTAGTGTTCACGCCGCCCGCCCGCCGCGCCGGCGTTCGGCCGCTTCGTGTTCAGACCGGCCCGGCCGGCTGCTGATGCGTATCACCGTCGTCAGCGTCGTCCACGCAGCAGCGTAAGATCCTGGCGCTGCTGGACCAGGTCAGCTTCAGCCACGAGCCGGTGGTGCCGCCCAACTGGCAGTACTTCGTGCCGGCCAAGGTGGAGGAGGTACGCACTCGGACGCGTCTCGCGGAGGGCGCGCAGCCGGTACTGCGGGTCCTCCCAGCGAACCGGTCGCCGGTGTGGCCTGGATAGACGCCTGCGCATGGGGCTGGGAGAGTGCTGTGTTTCGCTCCTGTCAATGCTGAACGGCGCGGTGCCCGGAATGTAGTGGGTGCTGTATGCGTGCTGGCGTGGCTGCAAGTTGCAAAGCTCCACCCTGTGCAGCGCTGCCACGCGTTATTCAGCCGTCCTGCAATCCAGCTGTCCCACAGTAATGTCGAACGTCATCAGGGACTGGACTGTGCCGTCTGTTCAGACGTCAGTCCGCCCTCCCGAGCGCCCGCCCTCCGTCGGTGCCTCGCCTCAGCGGGAGGGCCGCCCGGCCCGTCCGCGCCCCTGCCACGCGGCTGGCAGCCGTCGCCGGCAGCCGCACCGGGCGTCGCTCACCGGCCCGCCGCCGCCAGGTGATCCGCGCCTGCGAGGAGCCCGGCCCGGCCCGCCAGGTGGACATCAAGCAGCTGAATGGCGTACTGAACGCCGAGCTTGCCGTGCTGCACGGCACCGCCGCGCTCAGCCAGCACCACTACGTCGTCCAGGAGATCAAGGTGGGCGTCTAGGAAACCAGAGGTACGGGGTTCGATTCCCCGCGGCGCCTCGCCCTTCCTGCCAGGATGAGAGGCAGGCGACGCCATATAGCCTCAGCAGCTGAGTGTGTCGTAAAGCCCCAATGACACACGAGATCAAGGTGGGCATCCGGGCCGGTCGGCCAGCCCGCTGCCGCCGCCGCTGTCGTGCTGGCCGGGCGCGCGGCTGTGGCGCGCACCGTCGCGTCGTCCGGCCGCTGTGTGGTGACGGGTCTTTGTCACGTGTCTGGCTTTCAGCTGTCGATCGACGGTTGGTGCTGGAACGCCGCATGAGCGCTGCCCGTCAGGTGGCGAGGATTGTTGGGTAGTGCCGCGTGTGGCGGAGTACAGTGTCGGCGTTGAACGACGCGACGTCTCGTCACGGTGGCAGCCTCTTTGTGCTGCCAGCGGTGCGGCCCGACCTGTGCTCCACCGCTCCCCGCCTCTGACGGCGGCCGTCGTGCTGCGCTCCTCCACCGCTCCCCGCCTGTGATGGCGGCCACCGAGCTGTGCTCCTCCACCGGTCCCCGCCTCTGACGGCGGCCTCCTTGCTGTGCTCCACCGGTCCCCACCTCTGACGGCGGCCTCCTTGCTGTGCTCCACCGCCCCTGCCTCTGACGGCGGCCTCCGCGCTGTGCTCCTCCACCGGTCCCCGCCTCTGACAACGGCCGGCGCGCTGTACTCCACCGCCCCTGCCTCTGACGGCGACCGGCGCGTCCCTCCGCAGTCGGTGCTGGAGTACTGCGTGGAGCGCAACTGCCACGCCCGCTGGCTGCGCACCTCGTCCGACTGCGTGGAGGCGTGGCGCCAGGTACTGGAGGTGCTGCTGACGGCGGTGCCAGCTTCGCTGCTCACCGACCATCCGGACCAGGTCATCATGGACATGTCGCGACACATCCTCAACAAGGTTAGCCAGCACGCGGCAGCAGCCCGCCGCAGGAGGGAGGAGACCGGGCGGGCTGGCCCTGCGGCAGACCCGCGGGTCTGGGATGGTCCGCCCCCGGACTTCACCGCTGCGGCTGATCTTCCCCGAGTTTCTGTCGGCTCAGTGGTGCTCGCAGGCGATGTGGGGGCGGGGCGCATGAGTGCGCGGCCGCGGTGCGCCCGCGTGCTAGGCATGCTACTGGTGTTATAGTCGCTTGTGGACATGGGAATTTGGTATGCTAGACCAATACGACCTTCATTGAAAGGGTGTATGCTGCCTTGGGACATGTTTTAAAAGCGTACCCTGGTGAAACCTCAGAACTGGAATATTTTTATTCGTGTGTTATTTTTTCATGTCTTTTATACAAGTGTATTTTTTAAGCTATTTTTTAAAGAATATCAGTTGCAGTGTTACTGTGGCACCAACAACATATAAGATGCAAATGCGCTGTACAGTCTAAATAAGCACGCAGATTGCCATGAGTTTGCCTACAAACTGAAACACTAACAATCAGATGTGGTATATCAGAGTGTGCTCCACCATTTATGACTGTCAATGGCGCTTGTAGAAATGCACCTTTTTATGATGGCACAGAGGACGTCGTAGACAACCAACTGAGCATCCAAGCAAACCGTGTTTTCGAAGGCCAGAGTGCACTTTCGAAAAGAGTTTTGCTTAGCACCATGACTTTCTAGCAGAAATTAAAGCCGCTGTACAACGTTTCGTTAAATTCGCGTAATGATGACCTCATATCTGTATATCGTTCTCACGCAATGAGGTTTCAGGCTCTCATTCTCGTCATCATTCATTCTATCATCTCTTATGCTCGTCGTTTATTACACAGACGTTTTGATCATTTAGTGTATGGCGAACATAGCACAGCACATTTGTTGGAAAAACCAAAGCAAAAGAAAGAATATTGCTGTCATGATAGCGAGCAGGGGGTCCAATGCCATTTTCCCCGTTGGAGTGGTTGTTTCAATGGGAATTTTGAACTTTTCGAAAGGACGTCGCTAAAACCTATATTGCTACCGACATCTGCGCTGTTCGAACTTCCAGTTAAATTACAGGAGTGCTGCGCTTCCTTTAATACGTCCCTCTTCGCCGGGGTCGAGAAAGCCGAATATTTTTCGGTTCACACAAAACGGCGTTTAGGCGTTCAGTGCTGACCGTGCCGTATCCATGGGAGCCGCACGGGCGGCGCTGCCAGGTCCCTGCGCCAGCCGCGTGACCTGACGGCCCCCGGTCTGGGTGCGCCGCCAGACGCTGGACCCGGCGTCGCTATCCCAGCTGACCAGCCCGCTGGCCGGTACGCTGCTGCTGCTGATGACGTCACTGCGCTCGGTGGGCGGCGACGCCGTCAGCCGGCCGCCGCAGCCGGCCGGCCGGCTGGTGACGCTGCGCGGCATCGTGGACAGCCTGCTGCGGCCCGGTCAGTCGCACGGGACGGGACGGGACGGGACGGGACGGGACGGGACGGGACGGGACGGGACGGGGACGGGGACGGGGACGGGGACGGGGACGGGGACGGGGACGGGGACGGGGACGGGGACGGGGACGGGGACGGGGACGGGGACGGGGACGGGGACGGGGACGGGGACTCTGGGTCACCGGTCGGCTGACACGGTCCCCGTCGCGTCTGAGACGGCTACCGCCGTCTGGCACGGCCCCCACCGCCGCCGTCTGACACGACCCCCGCCGCCGTCTGACACGGCCCCCGCCATCTGACACAGCCCCCACCGCCGCCGTCTGTCACGGTTCCCGCCGTCTGACACAGCCCCTCGCCGCCGTCTGACACAGCCCCTCGCCGCCGTCTGACACGGTCCCCGCATTCCGTCACGGCCCCGCCGTCTGACACGGTCTACCGACGCCACAGACCCGGGCCGACGCGCCAAGCAGCGGACCCGGGTGAACCTGTACGGCGCGCTGCTGCACCTGCTGTCGGCGGCGGCCGGCGGCCCGGACCTGACCGACGCCTGCCGCGAGTACGGCCGCCCGCTGGTGGAGACGGTCTGCCGGGACGCCTGCGGCGGACACGACGTCTGCAGGGTGAGGGCGACGCCGGCTGCGGCTGTAGCGCCCGACTGAGGCGTGAGGCTGAGGCTGAGGCGTGACGTCTCGCCGGACTGCCTCGGGCCGGCCGCACGGCGGGGGAAATGTGGCGTGCTGCCGTGCGGCGTCTCATCGGGTGGTGTCAAACTTGTCGCTGCGGTGTCTTCTGCGGTCACGTCGACGGTCGTGGGCCTGACTGCTCAGGCTGGCCTGGTAGTGCCGCACGCCTTCCACACGACAGCCGGTAATCCGCCGAACTGTGCCTCTCGCGAGAACCGAACCGGCGATCCTCTCGCTCACAAGCCGACGACTCAGACCGGCGCGCCCGTGCGGCAGATGCTGGCCATGGCGTGTCTGGACGCGCTGCTGCGGATGGACCGGCTCTGGCTGTCGCACCTCTCGGGCCACGGCTACCTGGCGGCGCTGGCCGAGTCGCTGCAGGCGGACGACGCGCCGCTGCGGGCCCTGCTCGTGCCGCAGCCGGCAGACCTGCGGCCGCTCTACCTGTACGAGTCGAAAATGGTGAGTCACGTGCGACGCGGCCCGGCCGCCGGCGCCGCTGGCACGTGGCGGGTGGTTTGGCCACGTGGCTTGTGTGGCCTCCGGCAGCTCGGTTTGCACGAGTCGAAAATGGCGAGTTGTGTAGGCTTCTACCTGTAGGAGTGGAACATGCTGAGCCGCGCGACTAACGGCGGCGTTAGGTCTTTTCTGGTTGTGGCCGGGATGTTGTGTTGCAGGCAGTGTCAATCAATCTGTGTCATTACCGTAAGGTTTGTTTTCTGAGCACGCCGGCACTCCCCATCCCCTGCTATGCCAATGACTCAGCATGATGCGCCGCATCGCTGTACCCTCAAACAGGCGCACTGGACCAAATTGTCCTCCGAATACCCGCAGGCTGTCCCAGCAGCCGTGTCTAGATCCCGCGTCTGTGATCGTGATGCTGCGTACCCGACGGAGCCTGCCGGTAACGCGCCGCGCCCTCTCGCGCCGTCAGAGTCTGCTGTGCCGGGTGGCGCTGGTGCCGGACGGCGCGCGCCTGCTGCTGCAGACGCGGCTGATGGCGCGCCTCTCCGACCTGGGCGCCGTCGACTGTTGGCCGGCGCGCGCCGCGCCCGACGGCGTGCGCGAGCGGTACCGGCTGGTGGCGCAGCCGGCACTCCGCCTCTGCGTCTCCCTGCTGGCCTCGCTGGGCCGCGAGGACCAGTCGGCCGCCGCTCAGGTCCGCAGCTGGGGGGGGGGGGGGGGGGGGGGGGAGCATGACAGGAACGGGACGGGGCCGGCGGTGGGGGTGGGGAAGGAGTCGGCTCAGGGCAGGCCCTGGTGGGAAGCCGGCACAGATCATCGCTGGCCAAGAACGGACCGGGTACAGATAAACAACGGATAAACAACGTTAAAAAGATAAACAGCCACTTGCTGGAGGAGAGAAACAAGTCCAAACCTGTCAGCGCGTATAGACTCCATTTCAGTACCTGCTAGACATTGTTTTTACATCACTGCATGCGCAAGCACGAATCATTCATGTAGAATGTTCGCTTTGCTCAAAATCGAGTGAGTCCGGCCGTTTCCGCTGTCGCCGTTATGTTTGTGTTGCTTGCTCGCCGTATTACGACACCACCGGTAATTTTCAGGTGAACCATTTCCTGCTGTCGCACATGGACATGGTGACGTCACTGTTGCGGCACCAGCCGGACAAGCTGGATGCGGACAACCTGGAGGACCTGGTGCTGCTGACGGCTGTCCTGTCCCAGACCAGTCACGAAGGTGAGAGCCGGGAGCGCGGACCGAGCACGGCGCTGGGCCGCCAGCAGGGCGGCCTCTGTCACTTTCGCCGGTGGAGAGCGTTCGCAATCGTCATGCCAGAAGCGAGGTCGAAGTGTGTTCACAATACCAGCGTTTTCGGTTTATCGTAGCCACTCAGTGAAGCAGATATTGTGGTGCACTTTTCGCCACGCCGTTGTGCTTCGGTTCGTAAGTAGACTCGTCCCTGATTGCGTGGCCTGCGACACCGCGCGGCGGGAGCCGTGACCGCGTGCCGGCACGTCCTCACTCGCCCCGTCGGTCCGGCAGACCAGTACGGCGACGTGTCAGGCTCGCAGCTGCCGGAGCGGCGCGGCCAGCTGTCGCGGCTGCAGCTGCTGACGCTGACGCAGCTGCCGCGCTTCGTGCTGACGCCGGCGCGCCGCCGCGAGCTGGAGCACCTGCCCGAGCAGCGGCTGCTGCAGAGTCCGCGCCAGCAGGCCGTCGTCGCCATGCTCCGGGTGAGAGGCGCGCTCGGACGGCCGGCTCCGTATGGCCGCAGCTGTTTATTGTTCCAGCTCCAGAGTGACGTTCAGTCGTGAAGGCTCTTCATTTTTTGTTAGCCTCGACCAGTTGTGTATTGGGAGCGAGATGTCCAAGGTTCTAAATGGCTCGGCTTGGCGCAAAAGGAGAGACACTGTGAGCAAGCGGTTGTGTCTTGACACGGATGGCATGCATCGGTTACGTTTTAGTCAGTAGTTAAAGTCTGCAGAGTCACCTGCAATGCAGGCTGCACCTTGTAGCCAAAGCTACTGGGAATTTCAACATCTACCTTCTAACTTGGGTTCAATCTCAACGGGGTTGCATTTGGAACTCCACTTATGTGTATTCAATGTTTCATCTGATGATGATAGTCATTCTTTCCACAATCCTGTCGCATGTCTAGTGATTTGATTACGGACCTCCTGCCCTCGTTTTCCGTAACACCAAGTGCTGCTGAACCGGCAACAGACCACCGGGCGCCAGGTCCTCTCGCGCGTGCTGATGTACCCTCCACACACCCGTGGTCCTACCGACGCTCTCGCGCCAGCTGATGCGCCGACGGCAGACTTGCCATCTGCAGGCTCTGTCTCACCAGCTGGCGCTGTACTCACGCCCGACGTCTGCCGCCAGGTGCTCTCGCACCTGCTGATGTACTGCCAGGGCCTGATGACGCGGCCGGGCTGGGGCCTGCGCGCGCCGCGGCTCCTCTTCACCACCAGCCTGCTGCCGGAGAAGCCGGCGGCGGCCGTCGACGTCGGTCCGCCGCTCAGCTGTCTGGTGCAGATCCTGCGTCACCACGCCGACCTGCTGCTGGAGGGCTGCCGCCAGCTGGAGCAGCTGCAGCGCCGGCTGGACGACCCCGGCCAGCTGGACAGCCAGCTGCTGGCCGAGCTGGCTGGCGATGATCAGCTGCCTCTGGGCGAGCGCCGCCAGCGCGCGCACCAGTACCTGGGCTCGCTGCGCACGCTCGTCGGGCAGCAGGTGAGGCGACGGTGCAGCCGCCCGAGCAGTGACGGCACGTCGCCCACGCGCTACCTATGGCTAGGTTGGTGCGCGTGGAGGAGCAAGAGCATTGAATTTTTTTCTTTCATTTAATTCAAGACATCGAATCCTGCATGTAAATATATAAATTATATATATATATATATATATATATATATATATATATATATATATATATATATATATATATATATGCAACCTGCAATCAGTTGCAGATTTGCAATCGACCTGGAAGTAGTGGAAAGTGAGGGTGGAGTCTGTCCACTGAGCAGTTGCTGGTTGCACCCGGTTGCCCTCTGACTGGTGACAAGGGCAGAACCGCGTCAGTCTTGCGTTATAGCTCAACGACATCATCCGTACAGTTCGTGCCTGCTATCGTTATCCACCGAGGCGTCACAGTTCACCGACTTCGCCCAGCAGTGCTTACCGGCCGTCATTTCCCCTGATGGCGCCGCCGGTTGTTGACGGCTGGATGGGCGCGGCAGGTGGAGCTGAGCCGACACGTGCTGGAGCTGGCGCTGGACCTGCTCTGGACACACCTGGACGTGTACCTGGTGCGGACGGCGCCCGAGGCTGGCGCCGCGCCGCTCCGGCCCGCCGCCAGCTGCCAGCTCTACGGTACGGCCCGTCTCATGGGAGGTCACACCCGAACGGCGGACCAGGGCGTCTGGCGTCGGCCGACCCCCTGCCGCCGCTGACGGCCGGCGCGGCTACTCTGGAGACGACAGGCTGTCAAACGAGCGACTCGTCTTGGGCGGTGGCCATGAGCCGAATGTGGCGAGCGGCCAGTGCCAGTAAGGTGTCAGATGGTGGTAGATGGGGCGATGAAATGAACGCAGAAATGTCGGCTGGCTGCGTCATGCAGAGGCCGCTGGTGCGCGGTGTTGACCGAGGTGGAGCGCGAGGTGTGAGCTAGTTTTGTGGAAGCGACTGCGACCAGCGAACGCCAGGCTTGCGCGGCGCCATGCTGTGCTCGGCTCATGCGTGCAGTACTGCGCAGCGGGTAAGCAATCGATTGGATCAGGGCATGCGCTGGGTTGAGACAGGTCTCCGGGGGAAGGTTCGCACCGGGCATGTTTGGGCACGCACCCGTGACCCACGCGCTCAGCCCACCCCGCGTGACCCTCGTGACCCGTGCGGCGGCAGGTCTGGCCGGCGGCGACGGCGACTCGGCCGGACCGGTCGGCGCCTCGCTGCTGGCCCAGCTGAAGCGGGAGCTGCCGCAGGCGGTGACGGACACCCTGCTCGGCCAGGTGGAGGCGGCGCTCCAGGTGAGCCCGACACGCGGCGCCGGCTCCACCCGCCTGCCACCGGCGCCCAAGCGGGTGGTGGCTTCGATCTGTGCTGTAGAACATACGGCACGCCGGCTCCACCCGCCCGCCACCGGCGCTCAGGCAGATGGTGGTTTTGGTCTCTGCTATAGAGCATACGGAACGCCGGTTGATAATGCCCGTGCGTGGCGGCGGCGGCGGGTGTTGCTTTCTCGTTCCGAAGACAAGCGTGCGGTTTCGTAACTCATTACCATTTGTCCGGCCGCGGATGTTCTCACGCATGTGTTGATGGTGTCAAATGTCGGCGCTGGGTGTCACGCCGGCGCCATTGCGGTCGCACCTGGCTAGTGGTGGCCTCCGCCCCTCAGCCGCGGCCGCGCGGTAACGCCCTCCCCCTCCCCCCCCCCCCGCCCCTCCCCGCGTGTCCGGCAGCACCCACTGGTGGGCCGCAGCCACTACAGCTTCTCCGAGGCCATGGTGCGGCGGCTCCGACGTGTGACGCGCCTCCACACCGGCGCCTGATGACGTCCGGTGGCGTCCTGATGACGTCTGGTGGCGTCTGATGGCACCCGGTGACGTCCTGTGACGCCCGGTGACGTTCTGTGACGCCATGTGACGTCCTGCGATGCCCGGTGACGCTCGGTGACGGCCTATGACGCCCGGTGGTGTCATGCGACGCCTGGTGACACTTGGTGAATTCGTGTGACACCGGACGATGTCCTGTGACGTCCTGTGACGCCCGGTCATGTCCGGTGACACCGGCTGACGTCCGACGATGTCCCGTGATGCCGGACATGTTCGTATGTACGTAACAACGTCCGAGGCTTTTGTTGACTCCGGTGGCGTCCGATATGGTCTGATGACGTCTGGTGGCGTCCAGTGACGCAGGGTGATGTGCGACGATGTCCCATGATGCCGGGCATGTTCGTTGATGCGCAGCAACGTCCCACGGCGCCCACTGACTGCCATGGCGTCGGCTGACGTTCAGCGACGCTCCTTTGGTGCGGCGGTGCTCCGCGAAGACCGGGCGTTGGGCTCGGGGTTCAAGCTGCTTTCGCTCACCAAGCATCGCGGTAGCGTTTCATGTAAGCGTGCGCAGTAGCTGGCGGATCAGATTTCGCTCGTGGGTTATGCCGGCGGGACCACACAGCTTGAATCGTTGGTTATATGCTCGAGGAACGCTGTTGGTAGCGAACAGCGGGCAAACAGCCGCAAATAAAGTTACGAATGCGTTTTTTTAAGTGTTTGTCTTTTTGGCCGATGGTCATCGGGGTTGTGGGGCGCGCTGACTTCTAAGGCCATTTTGCGCCCGGGTAGTATTTTTGTTCAGTTGAGCGCGGCCAATTGGCTCATTCCAGCATTCCACGCCCTTGTGTTCGTTTACGCCCTACCGTGATTGTCTCCCTGCAGCAGCTTCCAGAAATTAAACCAGACCCTCAATCCGGCGGTGAAGTCGGTCGCAATATTTGGCGCCACAGAGCCCGAGCCGAGCTGATAGTGGCCGCTCTTAGATCCGCGCAGTTGCTTGGCATACATGCAACTGGGGCGCAAATAACCAAAGCACTTGGCGCGCCCTTAAAGCTCGATAACTACCGACTCGAGCAGTCAGCTGAGCACCACGGTATGCGCTGGCTCGGAACGCCGTCGCTGGCCGCAGCGCCGCACTCCGCCGCTGCTGCCGGGCCAACTGGTCAGACCATTTAAGGGGACAGCATTCCGTGTTTTAGCAGATGCTTGATACCGTTCTTTTCCTCAGACAAGGTAAACCGGTAGCTTGGCATTGCGTCGATTTACGGCGGCACAGCGACGCCACTGCGTTCCTCGGACGACCCGAAAAGCTGAGCTGCTTTATGATGAGTTTATTAATCGGGCCCGGTAAACCAATGGAATAAATATTAAAAACCGATATAAACCTAGGACTAAGGAGCGACAAACGCATACGCGTTTATATAATATCACAATACACAGGGAGGGCCCAGGAATGACTACGGGGACCGAATTCACATGACACCAACAGGGCACGCGCCACACCAAACAAGGTCAGGGAGTCGACAGGAATCCACTCAGCTCAATTCCAGCTGAAGACATTCAGAAACAGAAAATCGCATGATGCTAAGTTCGACCTGCTCGCAACCCGCCAACACCGCAGGCGGAGGGAGGAGGGGATACCGGGCAGCCGCCCGCCGTGTGCACAGGTCACAGGGCGGCGGTCGGTCGCGATCGCTCGGCTCGAGCCACCTTCGAAGGACAAGAAATTTCGACAGGGTCTCGGGACACTCCATCCGGTTGACAGATGAGGGTATAGCCAGGAACGCGTGTTTCGATGGCGCACTCACAGTCGTCTTTGTACTGGGTCAGGCGCCGCCGGTCAGCGAGGTCACCGCCTGCTGGACGCGGTCGGCCGCCGCCGCCGCGTACACCGGCACCTCTGTGCGCACCGTCTGCCAGCCGGCCGCCAGCCAGTCGCCGACTTTCGCCGCGTACTTGGGCGCCTCGCGCTGCACCACCTCCCACACGTCGGCGGCGGTGCGCTGGGCGGCGGTGACGTACTCCAGCAGCAGGGGCCCGCCCTCGCGCTGCAGGCGCCCCGCCGCCGCCAGCGCCCCCGCCTTGACGGCCGTGGCGTGCGCGGCGGCCGCGTCCCAGGCGGGCCCGGCCGCCACCAGCGCCGCGTCCCAGTACTGGCCGGCCGCCGCGCACGCGGCGTTCCAGTAGGGTGCCGCGGTGGCCAGGGCGGCGCGGCAGTGCGGCGCGGCGACCGTCCAGCCCGCTTCGGCCGCCTCCCAGCCGCGGCGGGCCGCTACCGCGATCAGCGCCACCGCCCGCTCGCCGGCCAGCGCGCCGTAGTGGCCGACGCTGGCAGCGGCGCGGCTGGCGGCTCCCTTCACCGGCTCCCAGTACGGCCGCTGGGTTTCCATGAGGTAGCGGTCGACACGAGCGGCGCGCTCGGCCGCCCACTGGCGCGCGTGCTGCAGCTGCTGCAGCGCCTGCTCGAGCGCCGGGCCGCCGTGCTGCCGGGAGAGCGCCGCCAGCGAGGCCCAGCTGGCCAACACGCGGCCGCGTGCACGCTGCAGGCCCATTTCTGACAGGTCGCCCTCGGCGTGCATGTAGACCACGCGGCCGGCCAGGCCGACCACCGTCAGCAGCAGCAGCATGTTGAGCTTGGCCAGTCCTGACCAGCTACCTGCAGAAGAATGGATGTCAGGTGTTGGTGGGGTAGGATATGCATGACAGCACAATAGGCATTTTTAGCCCGGATTTAGACCAGAGCAAACAAACTGGTGGAATGACGGCCAACATTTGATTCTGGTTTCCACATGTCTCACCTTTTTGCGATTTTCCACCAGTATTCTTCTGTTTGACTGACTTGGTCTTGTGATCACCTGCATGACTTTGAGTATCACGTTCCTGTGCCTTTTTGTGTTGGTCCTTGACGTCAGTCTTTCTTTTGTCTTTGGTTTTCTTGTCAGCCCCCATGATTATTCAGTTCTTGCTGCTCTGGATGTAATTTAAACCTGAAAACAGAGCATAGTAGTGAGAGGTCTGATAAGATTAACTTGTATTTGCATTCCTCAAATGTGAAGTCTTATGGAGACCTTATGCATCTCACCTGATCACTTAAATATGATAAACTGACTTGCTGGGCTTGTGGGACTAATACACAAAACTATTCACTTATTTTATGACATACACATCCCTCTTCTCAGGATAAAAATAATACAAGAGATGGTATTAGCCAGACTTATCAGAGCTCAGAAAACACACCACACACTTGCAACTATCCACTGCATCTGACCTAATCAAATGCCCAGTTCATGAGCTGATTTATTCCTTTCCATGGGATTGTTTTTTCCACTTCTCATGATATGGATGGGAGTGATGATAGGGGTATCCATAAATGACATTGGACCTTTCTGCCTATTTCTGAACACGCTCTCTCTCTCTCTGGTTATGCTTTGGCTTCCTTGGACAAAAGCTCTTCGCCTTATTGGGCTGTACGTCTCAAGAAGGTAATGTCTGTTTAGCAGGAACTTGAGCTAGAGGTGTGAGCTGTGAAACAAGGTGGGCATGCTAATAGTGATGAGGGAAAGCCAGCAATACCTGACTTCTATGGTTGCAAAATTTCAAGACAACCATAATTTAAATACAGCTGAGCATATCATACTGCCTGAATTGCCCTCTTTCTATCAATTGATAATGCTTTCAAAATCAAATGCAATTGTAATTCACAATTTGTTCTGCTGTGTTAAGACAATCCATCTTCATGTGGCAGCCTTGTCATGAAGGACATGACATTTCTACCATGAGACTGTCCATAAATCACATTACTTCTTTTTGGTTGGTTATCAACCATCCCCCCAAGTTGTACACTGGCTCCCTAATGTGAACAACTGCCTGTATAGTAACAATGTGCTAAATGTAACATCCTGTTAGGGTACTGTACATTTGGTACATAATGTAATGTACATTTATTATGACAAAGATGTGCTGAATCTCATACTCGAAACTGGTGCTGACTGTGCACTAGACCCTTGACCACTCAAGCTTCTTATATAGGTACATCCATACTTATTTGCTATATAGGTACATCCTGATTTGGCTTGGAAATTCTTAACCCTTTTGCTGGCACTTCAAATTCATTTAAAACCAAACATGAGTGAACCATCACTGTTCGAAACCACACTCCACCTTGTTCCGGAGTGATGTACTTTTTGAAGATAAAACCCTACCCCTTCACCTGTTACATTAATTATGGGCATCCCCCGCGAAAGAAATGACAAGGATTTTGTTAGTAAAATATGTGACTTGGGAGAAGGGGCTGCCCACTAAGAACATACAGGCCCCAGGGCTCACCACTTGAAGACCCACAACGCTTGCAGGGCGTACCACGCATGCTACATTCGGCATGTATCACACTGCTATCAAGAATTGCAGTTGATATTCGTAACCTGAATAACACACACCACTCAGCTGTAGACAGCTTGGTTCAAAAATCTCAACACCCACAGATGGCCATTTTGAAATTTACTTACTTTTACGCCCGACAGCACCGCGCGTCCTCGCCGCAACCACGCTTGAATGCCGCGAATGCCTGTGGGCGCCGTGATTTTGCTACTAGAGCGCCGTATTTGCAGATCAGCTGATCCGTTCGCTGTTGCATCGCACACGTAGCGCCGTACGTCATTCGCGGCGGGCCAGCTCAGCTACGATCCCATCTAGCGGCAAAACTTCGAACTATAGAACTATACGGTTATTCCCGGCAACGGCCGGCCGAGATTGGACGTGCCGAGTACCCTTACGTTCAATTTGAGGTAGAATACATCGTAAATCCAACATACGTGGTTGTCAATGGACGACGTGAAGCTTGGCAAAAAAAAAAAACTCATGGGAATCAATCAAAGGCGATGACAATTCCTCCAAAAATAACCCACCCAAAACCGGATGCGTTTCGCGAATGCGCATTACAGCTTGAGCCGCGGAGCTAAAACAGGATGGTCCTGTCCGTAGTAGGGTATATCGTAGCAAATTATGCCGGATCGGCCTGGTCCTGCCTGCAACCGGATTCTGAAGTGTCACGGAAAACCAGAAGTTTTTTGCCGATGTTCTGTACACGTCTTCGCATGCCTTTCCATTCCAAGTATTCAAATTTTTACTTCACTTTGTTAGGAATTATGCCGTCTATCGCTCGTTCAGCCAATGCATCAGGCAATACCTCTAACTTAACTGGCGATACTCTTCCAAACTTTTGTGCGTCGTGTGGGCATATACAAAACAAATACACGTTTCGGTCAAACTCTTCGACGTGCACCAGACACGACATGAGTTTGGCGGAGGAATTCTCTACTCTACTAGAGAAGTACTCTGACGCAACCTCTATCACATCTGACGGTGAGAATCACTGAGTATTTATGTTAAATACACCCATGACGCACAGACGCCAGAGTTAAGAACAAAATGAGCAACGAAACGACATCCGCCACAGGAAAGATCACACACCTTGTCGTCAAAAACGTGCGGGGGCAGAAAAAAACACATCCTACCAACAAATATGGATGCGAGAGGAAAATTCGATGCCCCATTCTCAACACGCTGCTTTGGATGTTACAGTCACACACAACCTGTAAACACTCACTGTTTCCATTTTTGGGTGCCACAGAAACAATGAAGCATGTCAACTGCAGATTTATTCCTCATAAAAGAACATTCCATCACCTGCTGCTATCAAACACTGCATATTGACTATAAACTGTTGCATAACCCTACATACATATGCATTAAAAACATGATTGTAGATTTGAGTCAGGGGTAAAATGTAACAAGCAATGCTCAGGCAACAATATTGCACTACCCTAGACAGAAACACAGACTAGAGTTTGGCAGATTGTAGACACAAGCTTCAAAACCTGAGGTACAAAGAGAAGCGGGGTCCGGGAGGATTCGTTCGCGCGCGCTGTCTACCAAGCAGTGACCGCCTCTGCCATATTGCTACCACAGTAGTGTCCGTGTCCATCCGGCTCGTCGCGTTCCTACCGGTCGCTACCGACTTCGGTCTTCATCGTTTCGCCGCTAGCCCACCCTCACCTCCACCGACCATCTACAGCACGCTCTGTACAGTCCAGCGACCCGAGGTCACGCCCACGCTCTCCCCACACCCCGGCCGGGGTCACGATCCGAAGGCAAGGCAAAGCAGAGAAACCACAACTCCGACACGGCGGACCGCGCCGGAGCAGCGAGCGCACGCTCGCGCCGCCAGCGGAGCTCACGGCATGCAGACGAAGAAGGCGACCAGCGCTAGCAGGAGGGCGGCGGCGGCGCCGGCCGCGCACCGCAAGTGGCTGCGGCGCCGGTGCGACAGTGGCGCCGCAGCGCGGCCGGGACGTGGGGCGCGGCCTCACTGCGCCACCGTGGCCGGCGGCAGCACCTGCACCTTGCCCTTGTACTGCTCCTCCAGCGTCTTGATGTCGTGCAGCACCTCCAGGATGCAGCCCATGCTCCAGGCCTGCGCCTGGCAGCTGAACTTGCAGAACTCGCCGTTCATGTTGGTCAGTTCGGGCAGACTGCGCCACACTGAGTCGGACAGCTGGAACGGAGCCGGCCACGGTGGGTCGTCACGCGTCAGTCACGCTGTTGAACTGGTATTGGACAGTGATAAGCACAGCCCAAGTCCCAAGACATCAATACAACTGACCGCAGCAGCTGAAAACAGCGCAAAGCTGATGAACACGTGGAAGGATGCCTGTCATCTACACCAATGATCGATAGTCACAACCGGACATAGCGAGTAAAGTTTCCCATTACGGCGACGTAAATTGCTACATGACACCCTCAGCAATCCACGCAATGCGAATCAGTCGCCTGTCTGTTCTTTTTGCGCGGACCGGGCCTCGCTCCCACCCGTCGCACCCGGCGAGCGGCGCGCCCACCCACCTGCACGTAGTGCTTCGAGATGATCTGCTTGACCTTGGTGATGGTGGACTGAAGCAGGGCGTGCCCTCCGATCAGCGGCGCGAAGTGCAGCCGCGCGCGCAGGTAGAAGCCCAAGGGCCACACCCACTCCTGCAACGCACCGCAGCCCGGTCACTCAGTCCGCAGGCTACCACGCACCAGGGCGGGCGCGAGTTTCGCGTACGCGCACGGCCACAGCGAAACAATCTCGCCCACTCGGGGCGGCCTGAAGCTGCATGAATATGTGCCAATCATAGGCACGGGCCTCAGAATATGCTCGACGTTCACTCAATGTGCCTTTTCATCACGGCATACTTGACTTCACCATCGCGACGCCAGAGACCGCCGATGAAAAGATCGAGGATGGCGCAGCTTCCGGCGGCGAAAGCAGCGGAAAACGCCAACCCCGACGAAAACCCCACAGCTGCCATCTCCCATTTCAGCCAACCGCGCCAACCCGCCACTCCTGCGCCGCAGAGTGGTCCCCTGACAACAGCAGCCGCTCGATCGTGGTGCCACCTACCGGCCCGTTGTGGTAGCTGAAGCCGTGCGCCTTCTTGGGGTCGGTGCCGTCGTCATCGACGTTGTAGACGCCGTCGTAGGCCCAGTCGCAGGCGGCCAGCGTCTTCATGCCCATGGGGCCGAGCAGCAGCCGGTCGGCCGTCTCCAGCGCCGTCCACGCGTGGTTGGGGTTGAACATGTCCGGCGCCTGGCGGCCGTGTGAGGGTCAGTGTGGTCCCGGCGCGGCGGCGCTCAGACGCGCGCTCCAGGGCCGCACGCAGGCACAGTGCAGCCCTTGGTTATCGCGGCAGACGGAAGTAGTCCATAAGGAAGCGTGCATGGAACGTTGACAACATGTCGAAAGGGAGACTGGAGCGACGATATACAGCCATCGCCACTGAGTTGTCGACGGACAACAGAAAACAAAGTACATGCACACAACAAAGACAAAATTATCACACAGTTCACCGTCGCCTGCATAGTCTTTACTGCCCTTCCGCAGATCCTAAACAACACGTCGCGGGTAAAAATGACCGGACTCACCGCTACCATGGCGATGGGGAAGTTACACCGGAGCTGGTAGTCGGCCCAGAACTGGGAGGCGCAGTACGAGTCCTTGTACATGCCGCGGATGTTGATGAGCTCTGGCACCGGCTCGAACTGCGGGTGCGGCACGTGGTGGATGTAGAAGAGCTTCTCGAAGTGCTTGTCGATCATGTCGGCCCATTCCTCCCACTTCCAGCTGGTGTAGGTCCCTGCCGCGATGGAGAGGAAGCCACACGAGTGAGAGAGACGCGGCGCAGGGGCCGACAGTCTGCAGTGGCAGAACGACACACAGACACAGAGCAAAAGCTCCCCCCGACGAACTACGAGAGCAGACTAACGCACTGCAAGCAGCCCGCAGCAGCTTACGCTGTAATCACATCACACCGCGAGACTGCTGGCAGGCAGCCACTCGAAATATCCAGGAAACAGCCAAGTCCTGCTCTATTCATTATGCCTAGTTAGCCATCTGAAACTGAGATCACAAATCAATTACTTTGGTTGGGTAGCACTGCAGCAAGAGTGACTAACTGCGCTAAACACAGAGTACAACAGCAAAATCTTTAAGTACAACACAACTCCGAGGCAAGCCACACACAAAATTGAGCGTCGCAAATTTCTTCCCATCGCAACCTTGCTAACAGCTAGTCGATCCCACATGCCCGCTTCTCCCCAGCCTTAAAGCAGACACGCACCCACGCATCACCCCCGGCCCGGCCGAGCACTCACCGTTCTCGTCTGTCTTCTTGACGCCCTCGTACGGGTACTTGCCGTCGCGGTACATGCCGGCCAGCCAGGCGACGGTGGAGCGCGACAGGCCGACCAGCTCGACGGCGCTGCCGTCGCGCGGCGTGGCCGGCTTGCCCTTGTTGCCCGACCGCTCGCTCGAGCCCATCTTGTCCATCCAGGTGCCGCAGTTGTGCCCGTTGCCGCCGAACACGAAGCCTGGCGCACATGTCATGTCAAATCATGTCAAAAAAGCCTGGCGCACATGTCAAATAACATGTTGACTACGCCGTGATAGGTATCAAGCATCACCTTCGATTTGCTGGAACCCAGCTTGATGCACATGGCGACGGTCAAACTGCACTGCAGATGCTTTGTGCTGTAAACAGAGTTGATAACTTGAGCCACATGGAAACTTAGAGGTGTCACCGGCAAATACTTGCAGCGGTATCATTTGAGCCTATCTACTTGTACCCCTACGATACATTTCGGTAAGCCACATGTGCGAAGTGGTAACATGACACAGGTTCTGATTCAACTTCGCGAGATCAAATAGCACTCTGGGTGAAATATGCAATCCTCCTCAATGCAAATATCAATCCTAAAATATCCAATCAATATGTGCATGATGACACGTTTTACAATCGGCGCACACCACGATCGGCCTCTGGTTTGCACACGGGAGCCTTCCGCGCAGAACCGACCTGTCTCCATGTCGACGCCGATCTGGTTGTTGAAGCCCTGGTCGGACATGTCCCGGTCGATCTGCGGGCCCGCGTTCCTCTCGCGGAAGCTCAGGCCCTCGAAGTGACGCTGCAACGCCTCCTGGATGACGTCATGCAGCGGCTGCTCCTGTGACGTCATAGTTTTTGCTGTAGTGATCGATGACCATCCAGTCCTGTGCAGATCATATGCTAACGTCTCCATGCATTGCCTGGCCGCCTTTCACCTATTACTCGTGTCTTACCAACGCTTCGGATCAGGTCACACATTTGAGAACGCGTCGACTGCCTACGGCAATGCAGTGATGCGGGAAAACGCACCCACATGACTGGCACAAGGCATGACCCCAGAACAAAACGGCACAGTCCGAGGACAAACCAAGACACGCGTCACTCACCACTTCCCCGGTCTCCAAAGGCGGTGAGTCATCGGTGGGGTAGAGGCGCGACACCTTGTCCTGCAGGATGCTGACTCCGCCCGACACCAGGCGGACGTACTCCTGCAACAGCAGGCGCCGGGTCGGCCCACCACGTCGACGGCAGCGGCATCCCGACGCACCGAGCCCGCTCCCGACTTCAATCATTCACACATTCTCCATTCAGCGTGTCTCAGCCCAAAGGCCGTCTACGTGTGCGATGCAAGTCGCTGCCCTTCCGCGGTGTTCAGCGCCGCGTTCTCCCCAGGCTGCGCCCCCACACGTCCCACGGGGTCTAGCGCGTGAACACGCCCAGCACAGCCGTCGGGCGCCGGCGTGGTCAGGCGCTTCCCAGCCCGCGAGGCGCCGGCACCGCGCGTCCACACAATCACTCCCACTCCAGCCCCGCAGCCGGCCGCACCTGGATGCAGTAGAGCCACCACCAGACGGCGTCGCGGCAGTTGAAGCGAGCGTTCTTGCCGCCGTCCAGCAGGTTGGGGATCAGGCCGTGGCGCAGACAGCCGGCGAACGCCAGGATGATGTAGCGCGCCTCCGCGTGCCGGCCCGTGATGGTGAAGAGGCCGCGCAGCGCGATGAACGTGTCGCGACCCCAGTTGCGCATGTAGCCGGTGGAGAAGTGCGGCAAACCGGCCGCCAGGCTCACGCACGCCTGTGAGCAGCGGGCGGTCAGCGGGGGGGGGGGGGGGGAAGGGGGGGGGGGGGGAGGCGCAGCGAAAACAGTCACGTTGGAGACAGGCGTTTGCCTGAGGAGAGCGGTTCTGTGGTCTCGGCATGACGGCGACTTTTTAAGTACGCCGTGGAAGCCGTTAGCCTTAAAAATTTACCTTTTCACCACACACCAATCATAAAATACGTCATTCCTGACTTGACGCGCAGGATTCCAACTGCCGAGCACGATTTTATCAACATGGCATGACTGCAAACCGTCCAAGATAGTAAATGCTGATAATGAACAGCTCTTTGTTGCTTCCAATGTTCCATCGCCCCATTGTTTCAATCTCCTCGTCACCACATGCGGTTTAAGCGTCCGTAGGGCCCGAAGCCATGCCACATCGGCCGACCCGAACGTCACCCGGTCCCCGCGGGCAGGCGAGCGAGCGCTGGTGTGTCGCACCTGTCCCTGGACGCCGTCGGGGCGGGTCCAGGTGGCTGGCCGCGGCGGCGCCAGGTTGGACGAGATCTCGGGCAGCGGGGAGGAGTGCACGAGGCCGCCCATCTGGATCGAGCCCATCGCCAGGTCCTTGGTGAACTCGGAGCCCTCCCGCACGAACCTGCGACGAGCACAGCGACGGTTCAGAGCCACAGGGGCAGGGCAGCACAGAAGGGTCCATGTTGGCAATGAACGGGCAGCGGCCACGCCATCCTGCTCCCGTGAACTGCGCTACACACAGAATACGGCATTTTACAACATATTATTAACATAATAATCATCAGAATAATCCAATCGACGGAATAATCCGGAGTAAAATTTACAAGCAGCAAACAGATGCTTTTTTCAGCACTGCAGATTCTTAACTTAGAGCAACGAAATATTCCTTCGCCAACATCCATGCGTCGTGACAGATGCAAGCAAGCATGCATACTGTTCCACAAGGTGGATTGTCCACGGTCCGACGGACGGACAGACAAAGCAGACCGCGGCGCGCCTGACCTGGCCATCTGGCGCCAGGTGCTGTTGAGCAGATGGACGTACACCCCGAGCAAGGTGGCGTCGAAATAGGCCGGCACCAGGTATCGCGGCATCTGCCTGATCTGGTCGAACGTATCCTAAAAACAGACACGATTCATCGGCATAAGTAAAGGACAGGGGCCCCAGCAAAGCACCAATGCCGGCTTCGCGTCAGGCCCAGCGCATCAACCCCGTAAGTACCATCCCATCAACAAATTCTGGTTAATTGGAGCGCGTTGACATTGCCACTGGCGCAACTCCAGGACGACGAATGTGTCTTCAAAACCCACACAACACTCTGACTTTGCCACGGATCTCAACACGGCAACAGTCGCGCGTGAGGAGCACGCACCAGCACCCACGCGACCCCGCGCGTCCCGTACCTCCAGCCAGTTGGCCAGCTCCATGGTGGTGGGCTCGAGTTTCAGCCGGCCGACCACGTAGTCCATCAGCCAGTCGCCCTGGCGTAGGTTCTCGCACAGCGCGTGGCCCAGGTCGTTTTGCACGCGGATCTCCGACATCAGGGACATGATACCTGACGGCGCCACGCCAAGTCAGGGGAGGACACAGCACACTGACCTCGCAGACGTCCACGTGGAGCCTGCTATGGCGGTGGGCTTACGCACAGAACGAAAAGTAGGGGTTATAACAAAGCAGAGGTGCAAGTTATGAGTGACAAGGTCAGCATCAGCAGCTGAGTTTGTCAGTGATTATCTAAGATATAATCAACAACCTTCCAAAAGCTCTTCCATGCCTTTTCAGAAATATACTTTTGTTGGTGATAATTGGGGTTGAAGGGAGGGTCGACAGCTTATGACATGTTCTCACTCATGAGGGGCATGTAGTACCAATTACACACACCGAATATCGAAAATGCTTGTTTCGAGTTTCGTATCTCCAAGATTCCGCCTCTGCTCTGCTCACACAGTCATATTCAGCGTCTAAAGCTCCGCACTCACATAAAGAGTGTACACACAAATACCGCTGCTGAAAACCAGCCCAAACAAAACCGTCACCGCCGCCGATGGCGGAGCGAGGCACGGATCACCAAACCCAGACAGCCCGCCACACATCCAACAGCACTGAGCTCTCGCACTCCCCTCCCCTCACCGACGCACGAGACATTGGTGGGTAGGGAGGGAGAGGGGGAGCGCTCCCCTCCGCGTCGGGAGCACTCACTCTGGAAGCCGGAGTAGACGAGCGGGCCGAAGTTGGGCAGGTCGTAGGCGGCCCAGCCGCGGCCCTCGTCGCGCTCCTCCTGGTCGCAGCGGTAAATGATGCGGTTCATGTCGGCCAGCGTCAGCCGACCGATGATGTGCTCGATGTCGGTGCTGAGGCTGAACTGGGTCAGGTCGCAGACGATCGAGCGCAGCTTCTCCACGGCGCCCACCGCCAGCGGGCACGGCGCGATCCTGGCCGCACGGCGCCGCAGTCACGCTCACCGCAGCGGCGACGCCACGACTGTCACGCGGTCCCGCCCGGACACCACGCCCCGCCAGCGCGCGCCACCGACGCGGCGGCGGCTGGGCGGCTGAGCGGCTGCCGTCTCGGGGACGGTCCCAGTCGTCCGACAACAGAGCTCAACACGCCGGGCCCTCCCAGTCGTCAGGCAGACAGCCGGGTGGTAACGGCCACCGTCAAGGTTGTTCTCATGATGTCAACACCGCTCACGAAAACATCCAGGGAAATTCTATCACCGGGCCGTAAAGCTGGGTTTGGGCGCGGTGGGGTAACATCCCGTACACGACAGCACAACGGCACTCCCTGGCAAGCGAGTGCATGGCCAGTCCCACTTCCTTCTACGTATGTCATGCACTCGTGCCGAGCTTACGTCAAAAGCCGACACCGTTCAGCTGCTACGACAGACGACTTTTACCAGCTGACCTCAGCGCGAACATGGAGCCGGGCGGGAAGTCCTTGTAGTCCATGACCGTGTAGCCGTTGTCCAGGCGGTGGGAGAGCATGCTGGAGTCCTCGATGCCGAAGCTCTCCCGGAGATCCACCCTATACTGGTTGACGCCGTCGATGAACGTGTCCGACTGCTCTATGTCCTCCAGCTCCATGGGCCTGAAGCGATATGGCAGTGACTAGTTCAGGGCCTCGGACTACTCGGGCGTAACATCACTCATACGCCTAGCAAATCAAAACCTAAATCAACAACGAACCACGGACGAGCGTTTTCGGGCTCTGTCCGCCACCAAACCCCTTTCCTTCCCTCCCGGGGCAGACGCACGCACGTCACGCCCGCTCCGCGGGCGCGCCGCCCGGCAAATGACCCCCGTTCCGCCGGCGAGCGGCCGCCCCGGGCCTGGTCGCGCCGCTCACCTGCCGTCGCGGGGCACGACGCGCGCCTCGAACACCACCTCGGCGACGGTGCCCTGGATGCGCAGCGCCTTGATGCCGTCGGGCGTCCAGAGGCCGCCTGGCGGCCGGAACGCCGTGTGCGCGCACAGCACGTACGACTGGTGGTTGACCGGGTTGTGGCGCGTGATGGTGACTATGTCCTCTGTCACCTGGTCCACGTACACCTGACCGGGCGGTCGGCTGGGGTCAGAGCGGGGCGCACGCGCCGCACCACAGCCAGAGCGAACCGCCACAGCAGCGCATGCTGGCTGAATGGAACCGGGCTGCCCCCAACTTCGAGCGGGTCACACTAAAAATACCGTTTTGCAGAGAGAATGAAGTGAGTTCTGCAGATAACGACAGTTGCGCAAACGGTCTTATTAGTCTACGAACAAGCCAACACAAAACGCTTGAGGCACTTTTCATCGCACATTTGCAATAATAATTTGCATGTACGTCATAGATGACCATTAACAGAATGCCGAGCGACGCAAGACCAGTCGAGTATATTTTTTATAACATGTCCCAGCCCCGGAAATGTCATTTGCCGGCCTCCGACCCTCCTGCCTGGGTTCCACCTCACCTGGGTAGGCCCCACACTGCCCAGCCCTACTGCCTGACCTCCACTCTACCTGGATGAGCCCCATCTTGTCCAGTCCTGCCACCTCACCTGGATGAACCCCATCCTTCCGAGTCCTGCCGCCTGACCTCCAACTCACCTGGATGAACCCCATCCTGCCCAGTCCTGCCGCCTGACCTCCATCTCACCTGGATGAACCCCATCCTGCCCAGCCCTGCCGCCTGACCTCCAACTCACCTGGGTGAACCACGTCCTGCCCAGTCCTGCCGCCTGACCTCCATCTCACCTGGATGAACCCCATCCTGCCCAGTCCTGCCGCCTGACCTCCAACTCACCTGGATGAACCCCATCCTGCCCAGTCCTGCCGCCTGACCTCCAACTCACCTGGGTGAACCCCATCCTGCCCAGTCCTGCCGCCTGACCTCCAACTCACCTGGGTGAACCCCATCCTGCCCAGTCCTGCCGCCTGACCTCCAACTCACCTGGGTGAACCTCGTCCTGCCCAGTCCTGCCGCCTAACCTCCATCTCACCTGGGCGAGCCTCCCCCCCCCCCCCCCCGCCCCTGCCCAGTCTTGCTGCCTGACCTCCAGCTCACCTGGGTGAACCCCATCCTGCCCATCTCGTAGTGCAGCTTGCCGAGCACCTGCTTGCCGCGGATGATGCCGGAGTCGACGTCCACCTGGCCCGACTGGCTACCATCACCCCACGAGGAGTACATGCGTTTCTCGGTCACCACGTGGATCTGCCGTGCGGAAAACAACGGCAAACACGATAAGATACAAAGTTACATCAGCAATGCTGCCTTGACGAAAGCAGCTCAGTAGCATTAAACGTCGATGGCCAAGGCAGATGAGAATCTGAACACCTCAACTTGACATTAACAGCAAAGCAAAACACCATTCATCCCACGTCGTGTTTCAAGAACGTTTACAGCAACAACGAACTACCTCAAATACATTACACCCTTACACCAATCTATTTCCAATGCTCATCCACACAAAACACCCGCAGGGACCGAGCAAACGAGAACACGTCAGCGAACCCCGCACGGGAGTGCCACCGACCCACAAACCAGCGGCGTTGAGTTCCCCACAAACGCCGCGGGAGCGCCACCGTCCATTTGTGCTCCCCACAGACGCTACGGAAGCGCTACTGTCCCTCTGTGTTCCCCAGCGACGCCGTGGGAGCGCCATCGTCCCTTTATGTTCCCCATAGACGCAGCGGGAGTGCCATGGCCCCTGTCTTCCCCACAAAACCCGCAATGGAGCACCACCGGCCCTCTGTGTTCCCTCCAGACGCCACAGGTGCGCCAACGCCCCTCTGTGCTGCCCACAGATGCCCCTGGAGCGCCACCGCCCCTCCTTCCCCCCAGCCGCCGGCGGCAGCGGCGCCCGCTCCGAGCGCCGGCCGGCCGAGGCCGCCGGCCACTGACGTGGTGCGGCACCAGCTCGTCGTAGCCGCGGTTGCTGCCGGCCGCGCAGCAGGCCATGTAGACGAGGCCGGCGCTGACCAGCGCGTCGAACGGACTGCGCGTCGTCACCGGGCACGGGTTGTCGTGCGTCAGGTCCATGAAGATGGCGTGCGAGCGGGCAGGCGCCAGCGGCCGGATGTGCGGCTTCAGGAAGCTGCCCACCGGCTCGCCGCCGTACAGGTACACCAGCCGGCCCAGCTCGTGCGAGTTGCCCGCCGACATGGCCTCTGGCGGCGGCGGGGCAGACGGGCGACGCAGGTCACCGGCAGAAACACGACCGGACCAGGCGCCAGCGTGGCGGAGGCGTCAAGTTTCGACCTCGATCGCGATATCGTGAGGGCTGTCAGAATGACGATCAGCAATGCAATCTAGTTGTAGTATACGATACAAATACACAATTTATGCCGTAGTGGCGCCGCAGCTTGCGTGGGAAAACAGCACAGCTCATAGTCGTGGTGTCATGGTTCACTTTCAGGCAGATTCGGCACTCCCACCTCGAATCAGCGAGTTGATGCCGAGCCGATTGACGAAGATGTTGTCTGTCTGGTCGTTGTTGGTGAAGAGCTCTGCGATGACGTACAGGTCTGGCCGGACCTTCCGCGCCGCGTCCAGCATGTACTGAGCAAAACGGCACAGGACCGTGTCATTCAGGAGTGCGAATGTCGAAATCGCACTTTCCTACCACCAGAACATCAGCATTGCTCACCTGGCCAGTGCTCGCAGTAAAATGTGCCCATCTTTAATTCACGCTCGAACATACGGTGCCAATTTGTAGCAAATCTCTGCACACGTAGTGGACAGTGGATAGCAAGACCAATGATCTACTCGACCAGAACAAGCACCAACATTTTAAGACGCATGAGCGGCCTCTAGCCGGCCCACGGGTCCCGGTCCGCTGGGCGAGGACGCACCTCGGCCACGTTGATGGGCGTCGAGTGGCAGTTGTCGAGCCGGATGCCGTGGAACACGCGCGCCACCTGCTCGGCGTAGCGGCGCATGTGCTGCCACAGGAACGGACAGTCGTCCGGACGGTCGCCGTACCTGGCCGGCACCGGACGCCCCGAGTCACGCGCGCCACGGCACCGCCGCTGCCCTGCTGCAGCAGCAGACAGCCACTGCGCGCCCTTCAGCTGTGGTGGCATGTCCCAACAGCACCGCGGCCGCCTCCCTCCTCCCTCCCCACGAATCATGCGACCCTACGAGACACGAATGGAGCCCGCCAGCGCCCCACACTGGTTCTTGCCGCGCCCGAGTCGGCCACCGCTGCCGCCGCCCACCTGAGCTTGATGCTGTCGCCCCAGGCGATGAGCTCGCGGCGCAGGTAGACGTCGGAGCCGGGCCGCGCGAAGTCGCTCAGCGGGTCGTCGCCCATGACCCAGCCGTTGTGCGCCATCAGGAGGCAGGCATCGGCTCCGAACATGATAGCCTCCTCCTCCTCCAGACTGCGCTTCTGGTCGAGGCTCTTGGCGCCGTCCAGCGTGGTGAAGTAGCTGCCGGAGCGGGGCATCCGCGCTCAGAGCCGGCCGACGCGCGCGGCGGGGGCGCGCGCCGCCGCGTCGCCTCGTCAGGCTGACGAGACGGCCAATACTGAACACGCACAAATCTACCGCCCAGAGGCAGACGGGCCTAAGTGCCACCTTACCTGACGGCCTTTTTGCATTGGGTGGCGGAAATGGTACGAGCAATTTTTCGTACATGCAAGCTGAAAGCTAAGGCGGACTCGTCAATACGAAGGGCACCAAATACAATTTCGACAGCAGACACGGGAAATGATCCTAACTTTTCCTAGTGATTACTGGCGCTGAAAACAAAAACTATAATCAAAGTTCGCACAAACAGAAAACGCACTTGCAGCTAAAACTTGTTACAATGGATCCTTTAATGTGACAACGCAGGACCTTACGGCGCCACAAGCGGCGTCCTCCAGGTGATGCCTCGCATTTTCGGCCCGTGGTCGGCCAGCCTCTCGTAGCGGATCCCTGATATGATGTTTTCAACGGCCGCCGACAGGTGTCCCTGCACGATACTGGCCGCCTGATCGTTCAGCTCCATCAGCCGGCTTCGCAAATGGTCCTTGGCCTGGTTGACATCACCACTGACGAAAAAAGATGGGTGATCGGTGTTATCAACCCTCATTACGGTACACATCACTAAGCAAAGCGCAAAGCATGCTAGAATGGTTTCCCAGGCTATGCTGACATCTCTTCAAATACAACGTCAGCAAGGGGCAGCACGATGTTTGCTATATTATATATGATGCGGTTGATGTCGAACACATCATATATAATGCAGACACCGTTAACGCTTCAATTCAAATATGTATTCACATCGCTATACATAGCACTGTTGCTTACATCAGCCACCATTCATCCTGACCAATTTCTTCACCTTATTATACATTCATCAATCACATTCACCATCCCTTCTTCAGCCCCACGTCCGGGCCCCCTAGCCTCCCACTCAAGCACCAGCACCTCCCACCAGACCCGCTGCCCGTCGGGCACCTGTCGAAGAAGATGCGCTTGGCCAGGTGGAGGTCGACGCGGCGGCCGAAGCGCACGCCGTTGGGGTCGGGCAGCAGGCGCAGCTGGCCCGGCTCGGCGCGCGGCTCGGCCCAGTCCGGCGGCGGCGACTCGCCCGTGCACAGCGCGCCCAGCTGGTCGCACAGGCTGGCCGGGTTGCACTGGTAGAACTCGTGCAGCTTGGCGTGCGGCAGGTACTCGCCGTGCAGCAGGTCGCGGATCACCTGGCGGCGCGGCGGCGGCGGTTGCCGTCATCCCGCAGCAGGGAGGGGGACGGGGACGGAGGAGGGGGGGGGGGGAGGGACAACAGTAGAGTACGGCTGCAAACTGACACCGAGATACTGCCTTGTAGTTACAGTGCACTGTCAGGAGCCTTTGCCGTCTAGTTAACGCGAGGACGTCTCCCTATTAGAAGCCAATGTGTTCCCGACAACCCCGGTCTCCCTGACTTATCCCGTCGTCCCCCCCCCCCCTCCCCCCCGCCCACCCCAAGCAGCGGTTGTTTTCTTCGTCGCCTCCCGACTTCTCACCCGCGTTCACACACCACCCTGACCAGCCCGCACCCATCGGAGAAGAAGCCCGCCCAGCGCCCGTCGCGCCACCTCCCGCCACTGACTACGCCGGCGCGCCGCACGCTGCCGTGCGCTGCCGCGCGCCGGCCGGCCGCCGGCACCACTGACCGCCAGGTGGCCCTCCTCGGTGACGTCCTCGGGCAGGCCGCGCTCCTTCCACTTGCCCTGCAGCATGTCGCGCGCCAGGCAGTCGACCAACCGGTCCAGCAGGTAGGCCGGCCGCAGGTGGCCCGAGTTCACCAGGTTGTAGCCGCACTCGGGGTGCTCCCGCAGCCAGGGCGACTCGTTGGCAGAGTGGTTCAGCACGATGTCGCACACGCTCAGCATCTGCCGGGGGAGGGCGGTCACGGCGGAACGGCGCTCGCCCCGCCGGCCGAACGTTCAAGCCAGCAGCGTCTGGCGGTTCAATGTAACCGTGGACGTCAAAGAGCGTTCGGCGCCTACTCTTGGCATCCTTCGGACGAGCCCGGTTTCCAATGCTGCATGCGCCTGCTCATGAACAACGCAAGTGAGAGAAGAAACAAATAAGCAGATCGCCCACTCCTGTACTACATGCAACCCGCTCTCCCCTCCCTCTCTCCGACACGTACAATGTGACGCATATATCCTCTTACATCAGATACATTATTAACCAATAACAGCCTTCCCACAGAGCCGCCCCAGTGACTATGCGTCCGTATGCCCCCGTATAGCTATAGCGCCACTCGTCCGCTCGTCCCATCTCACGCCGCCCGGCAACGCACCTTCCACTCGTCGCGCATCTTCTTGATCAGTTTGGCCAGGTCCTCGATGGTGGCCGGCGAGCCGTCTGAGTTCTGGAAGGCCGGGTTCAGGCGCAGCTGGTTGGCCAGCGAGTAGGCCGAGTTCGAGCCGCCCAGCTCCTGCCGACGCGACACCACACAAACGTTAAGCATCTCTGCACCTTGTGCGGCCTCAAGCGGTGAACCATGCCCCCCCCCCCCCCCAATAAACTAATTAAAAATAATACGCGACGCACGCTTCAGTGCAGAAGAATCGTGACGTCAGCATGACGTCGCACATGACGCTGCTCAGACCTGCCAGCGCAGCGTCGTGCACGTTGGCAACACAAGTCCGCCAATCGAGTGTGATGTCAGACACATTTAAGAAATGCGGATCTGGTTACCGAGCCGTGTTCGCGGCTGTTTACATCGCTGACGCGTCTGTGTATCGATACCCAGGGCACTGCAAAGGCACTGTGCTGTTGCCAGACGCCAGGGGACTGGGTATTCACGGTACGGCAGCGCTGTACACCCCTCCCCGACGATGCCGTTTGTATCTGTGCACTCCTGGGCACGCTGTTGGCAACAGACACTTATCCGTATTGTCCCCCGGATTTCTCCAAACGTCGCGTGGTCAGAGCAGTGGTGGTGCGGTTACCCTGTATCCTAGCACCATGAAGCGAAACGGAGGGTCCGGGACGTGGAAGCACAACCACTTTGAGAGACGATACTTTATGGTTCACGAGCTTTAAATGCAAGCGACGAACAAATCGCAAGACTCAAAACGTGCCGTTAAGTAGCAAAATAACATCTACCCACACCCACATCCCCATTCCCCCCCCCCCCCCCCCCCCCCCACACACACAGTTGCTCCGATTCCCGTTTCCGACCTCGCACACGGAGGCGGCCACAGCCCCGACAGCAGCAGCTGGGAACACAACACCGCAGACGGCCCAGCGGCACCTGACCCAACAGCGCCCGGGCCCGGCGCCGCCGCGCATCCCACCTGCACGGGCGTGAAGTGCACCATGTTGTAGCCGGTCTGGCGGGCCACCTCCAGCCGGCCCTCCCACTGGTCCAGCGGACCCAGACACTTGGACAGCACCGTCTGACTGAGGATGCAGTCCATGCCCAGCACCTCGTTGTTGGAGCCGCGCGACAGGGTCGGGTCCACCACGAAGTATCCGGAGCCGCGCGGGTTCGGGTCCGAGCTGCCGATGTCGAGTCGGTGGTCACGTTCGGAGCGCAGCTCGCTCTCCGACAACATATGGCGAACACCGTCAGAGAACCGACACGCACACGACTAGCACCACGCAACGAGGCGATCATGTCGCGCGCCACACGCGTCAGGTCTCAACGCACCCTTCTGTGTGCGTGAAGTAGTAGCGGAACGAGCCGGCGCGGACGATCGGGACCTCCACGAAGATGCTGGTGTCGTCGATGATCTTGCTGTCGGACTTCCAGGGCAGCAGGCGGTACTTGTCGCGGCTAAACTCCTCGTCGGCCGAGGCCGGGTGGTTGCTGAACACGGACACCACGCGGCCGAACAGCGACGGGCCCAGACGGAAGTGCAGGATGAAACCTGCCGACGGCGGCGCGGCGGGGTCACTGGCCGCCGCCGGCCCCCCTCGCCGCAGCACGGCGGCTCAAGGTCCGGCAGGGGTTCGGTGGCCGGCGCGCCACCCTACACCGCACCTGGCCACCACTACCTGAGCGGTCACAGCCACGAATGACTCCGGCACGAACAGCGGTCACGGACACCGTGACGTCATCCCAAAAGCAGGAGGACGGCGCTTCGAGCGCCACTTTTACGGCGCGCATACACACAGTTCAGCGAGGCCGGCGAAAGTCGCACCTTTCTGCAGCCGATACAGGGTCGCCTCCTGGTGGTGGTCGTCATGGAGTTTGAGCACTCGGACCTCTGGGTCGTCACCAGTTCCTTGGCACGCCATTCCAGGGAACAGTGGAGGGTAGCTGCACGAGAATTTGTAGCGATCCAAAGCACTGAAACGCCGGCGAGGCGTCAGCGGCGACGGCACAGCACAGCGACGGTCAATCGGCAAACCACGCGCAACCCAGGAGCGGCGTACCGTCCTCAGCGCGGGCCTCAGCTGTCCACGGGGTGTTGTGGAGGAGGGAGGGGCGGGGGAGTTATCAGCCGGCGAGACGCAGGCACGCGCTGACCGATTTCCCGGTGTCAACAGACCGAGCCGGGGCGCCGAGGTCGACACCACGCGCCCCGACAGCGGGTGGCGCCCGCGCGGGCGGACAACACATGATGGAAGCGGAGCTCGGCTGAACGGATGCACAGCACCGATTTCAACTGAAAAGGGTTAAACGTGACATAGCTGCCAATAAGTAGGCGTCAGCGAGCACACCAAAGATCTAAGATCGTGGGCCATCTCGGATGTGTCGCTCACAACAGGCCTGGGGTCCGACATCACATGCAAGAACCATCTGGCTGGGATATATCAGGATACTGGACACGGTAGTACACTTATGTCCACAGAATACATCAAAATGGACACATTTTAAACAATTGAGTCAATCAATCCTTGCACACTAATGCATCAGTGTTATTCTGTAGAGGCTTTAATATATATATATATATATATATATATATATATATATACATGAAGTGTTAGTAGAATGCTATACGCAACGCGCTTAGGCGAGTTCTCGTCCTGCTTAACGGGAGTGTTTCACATTTGTATGGACCTTTGAATTACAACATCCACCTTGAAGATCATTCGGTACAGTTCACAGCCCTGCCCTTCAAGACCTCTCTAGTTTCTGTGCTATATGCCCGCGAAGATGTGCAGACTATTCCGCAGACTATTTCAAGGTCTCCCAGGTATCCCTGACGCCATAACAATGTCATTCAAATCATGGCATTCCATTAGCCATGTGGCGATCAAGGCCAATACAAATATAATTGTGTCGTTCGTATATGGCGTTCGCATGTACGATTTCCGGATATAACGTCCGCCAATTGGCTCTCAATTAATGTTGTGCAAGGTACGATGACCGATGACACAAACAATGACTCCTTGGGGGAGCGTATTTACTCAACAGAGAAATTCGGTTGTCTAGAGCAGTCTTTTCCACTTAAAAGTATACCAACAACTAAAGGTGAGTTTATTTCATCACATCTGATGAATCACTTCATCACTGATGAATCAATCACATCACATCATCACTTCAATATCTTTAAACGCGAAACATTGCACTTAATGGCAGCGCACTCCGGTAATCTGCAGTGGGCTCATAGTAACAGGTTCCCGCCCGTAGTATCCGCTTAAGGCCACAGTGTTTCATTCCTGAACCGGCACGAGCCGTCGGATCGCACCGCGCTAATCTGATCAACATCGCGCAGGCGAGCGTGCGGCCGACCGTCAGTCCTCGCCAAACCGGTCCCCGGTCACTCGGCGAGTCACGACCGCACGCCGCGCACTTGAAAACGAATGTGCGCCGGCCTTCAGATGGCCACCGCTGCAAGAAGAAGTGTCCACTCGCGCCCAATGACTAGCACGAATGAGACGGCGGGACACCGATGAGGCATTTTGAAATGCAAACTCAGGGATGCCTTGCTCTATTTGCTCAAGGCCGGCGGCGAGCGGGCCAGGCTCAGCCGCCCCCAAACATGGCCTTTCGGGTTTGACTGTGCTCGGTTCGTAAACAGACGCAAAAGACAAGTTATCAGGCACCAAGCATGGGTTGGTGATACGTTGAAGACGTTCCCTCAGTGCACTCTTACCCGCGGGAGTCCCCAGCGGCACGGTAGTCCTCCGCAAACCATTCGCTGATAATCTGCACGTCGGCATGGAGGACATCTTAGGAAGTGACCTTTTACTTACGAAACATTCACCTCTTCGTGTTTTGCTATTTGCACTAGCTTGTTACAATACCCAACCCCAACGCACCGTCCACGTTACCAAGAAAGCCAGGACGTGCCACATCCCATCTGAGACCGCTTGAACGACAGCCGCACTTCACAGTAGTCACCGCACGTGACCGCCGCCACTCCTGCAAGCCCAGCAGCTTGTCCTTGAGTGCAAGTCAAATGGGCAAACCGGTGGCATGAAGCCGGCTCACAGCCGTGAAGTCAACAGCTGCCTGGTGAGAGCCCTGCAGGCCCGCCTATTCGGCGCGTTAATTCAGCCAGAAGTTGGCACTGCGGCAGCATGGTAAACATGCCTGACGCCAATAGCAGATCGCAAGGATGTGCAACGGACAACGTGATGTCAAAAGCCAACAACAACCAGTATTTCATATGGTATATGGCCTTTCCTTAGTTCTCCGCCGGGCCCAGATTTCGACAGCTACAGATGGTGCGTTGAAAGCACTATCGGGCACTGCACGCCGAGAATGAGGGCGTACTTCATAAACATTGACTTACCTATACATTAAAGGCCGATGATCACGGCACGTGTTCCAGAGCGCGCCAACATCGGCAGTCACCTCACGCCACATTAAGCACTGAGCACATTCCTCTCACCCGACAACACAAATCAGATCACCAATCGAAAGTGTCTGAAAATACCTTGCATTAAACACGACATATCCCCATATCAGTGGGAACGGATGAAGGGGCCGCGTGGACTGCAACCGACGGCGGTGTAATATGAGGTGATCCACACGGAAAATCATGTCCATCAAAGCACATAACACGGACGTTAGCACAGCAAAACCACTGACAAAATATCACCAGCCACACAGCAGGAGCACCGAGTGAAAACGACACCCAACCCAACCTTGCGCGGCTGCCACTTACGGGAAGACATCTTTGTACTTGGCGCGCTTCGGAGGCGGCACCACGAACACCTCGTACACCTCGTCCACGCGCTCGACCACGGTGCCGTACCCCATTTGGGCGGCGCGGCGGCACGGGGCCGTGCACCAGGGAGCAGCGCGCGTCCACCACTGGCGAGCCGGGCGGCGCGGCCGGCCGGCCACCAGACCTTGAGTCGGCCCGTTTCGCCACCTCGCCGCGCCCGCCGCGGCCCCCGGGCTCCGGCCGTGTGTATGTGTGCCCGTCTGTGTATGCACCGGATCGGTCACGTCGGCCGCGAGTGATCCGACGGCCGATACCGCCCACGTGCGCCGCCGCGGACGGCGCCGGGAGCGGGGCCCGCCGCCGCTTACGGACACCGTGTCGCTGAGGTCGGCGCGCGGCGGCGACGGCTTGCCAGGCGCCGCAAGCACTGTCACCGGGCGCCCGCCGCCGCGGACGGGGCGACGGCCCGCCAGGCGCCGCAAGCACTGTCACCGGGCGCCCGCCGCCTCGGACGGGGCACAGCTGCGGCGCCCTCGACCCATTTAGCGGCGGCCGGCCGGCGGCGGTCTGCCGACGCTGACCGGCCACCGCCGCCGCCGTCCGATTGCAAATTCCCGGCGCGGTGTACCAGGCGCGCGAGCCGCCCTCCCACCTCGCTCCCGCCACGATCCGGTAACGCGCGCGCGCCGTCGGCTGGCGAGGGCGCGCGCCGCCGTCTGCGCCGTCGCCGCTAGTGGGATCGGGTCGCTGGCGTCGGGTCCTGACGTCCGAGCGAGGACGTGGCTCGGTCACGGTCGCACGGCTGCAGCTAGCACTGCTCAAGGGTGCAGGCCGCAGCGGAGCCCGCCGGCGCACAGCTCCGCGCGTGTTTGGAGAGCACGTGGCAGATTTGACCGGTGCCGTGCAGGCCAGCTATCGCTGCTAAAAACATTTGTTGATGCTTGCTCTCGGCTTCTGTGCCTTGTCTTCAGCAGCCCCATCAGAAGAAAACATGGGCTTGCAAACAGAGGTGCATGTAGTTTAGATATCCCTGCTGCCCCATCTAACTAGTCAAGTTGGCCAAACACGCAGGCCAAACCCACAAAACGTCCAACGCAATGCTACGATCTCCCGAACATGGCATGTCGTCACAGTACGCCTGCTGAGCGAGGCGAGAAGGAATAATCCTTCAAGTGACCAGTCCGGGGAGACGAAAAAAATGCCAAACGGCGACAGGTAATTCTCGGAAAGGCCAGGGATCCCAACCGAAGGCACGGAGAGTCGGCCCTTCTCCAAATTCCAAACGTTGCACGCTAGGTCCATGCACTCACGATAGCATCAAGCGTATGCCAAGGATTTTCGATCCCCAAAAGGGCTCTCCACAATCCTGCTCTGAGATATCTCCTGCCGTGATCCAAGGTCAAGCTGGACATCGCATTCCATTTAAATACATCACTAGGCACTGACGTTCGCCTATTTCTACATGGTTGGACTTATCGATAGCCCCATAAGCAGATATTTGACACACATTTACCAAAGTATTCCACTGCCCTTTTATCGCCGTTGAACATCGTGCAAGTGGCAAGTGGCAAGTGCAAGTGGATGGCGGCGGAGCGTGGCCAGCGGACCCATCAAAGAGAGCCTGTGGACTCATTAAAGAGGGCCTGCGGACTCATGAGTCGACCTGCAGACTCACTGAGGGCCTGCGGACTCATAAGAGAGGACATGCAGACTCATTGAGGGCCTGCGGACTCATTGAAGAGGCCTTGCAGACTAGCTAAGTCTGACCCTTGCGATTTTATTCCACAAAGGACCTTCAATTTCCTTATTCTGCAGCCACAAAGCGTTTGACAGTGACTGTGGGTCACTCATCACTATTTTCCCGCTGTATTGGTGCGCGTGCTTCTAACTATACGAGCTAGCCTCAATACAGTAACATTAGCTCAATAGCTTCGATTTCGCAGATGAAATGGCGGCTGAAACGGTGGCACATCACCTACTTGTGATATTTTTACCAGTTACTTAACACGCGCTCGGGTGGGGGTCAAATTGACCCCCCTGAAGGTTTTTCAGAATGGTTTCCGAACGGCGCGGCGTAGCCGCGCCAAATTTTGCACAGCTGTTGACAAGTGAATAGCGGATCGTTTGATGCAAGAAATTTACATGCACCTTGCAAGGTCACTGACCTATGGCAGGTCAAAGTCAGACCATTGCTTCAGCGGTCAATTTCTAGGGAATCGTCCAATCTGATGCAACAACGGAGTGTTAGACGACGCCATACATCTTTGAGATGCTTTATTAGGCAACACAAACGTTGAATGAGGAAATTAAGTTGACCTAATATCAGGTATGAACGTCAGACCGAGGTCAAAACAAACCTGTTTTATTGCTCTAGGGCTTGCTGTATGGAATAGTTTCCGGTGCTCATTTTGAATTCACTGATCGCAGGAACCGCATCATACATCTTCCATTGATTTCTTAGATGTCAGAATAGGTCATTGACCTAAGATGACCCAGGTGGACATTTTTTAGGAACGTACTGCCTGGCGCAATCTCTGTCGCTTAATCAAATGCAAAACTCAGGGCAGTCTTATATGATTTTGGTCACCAAGACCTTCAAAAGGTCAAACAAGGTCACTGAACTGAAATGAGCTTGTGACCTTTTACTTAGAAAGTTATTTAGGTTCTGGAGGTACTTTGAAGACCAACCTTGAATTTGACCCTGTTTGACCTTATTTGACCCTAAGGTCATGACCTCGTGACCTCAAACTTTGACCTAAGTGAATTCACGTACAGGTCAACACACCCTGCAAATTTGGTGTCTCCAGCTTTCTTAGTTCCCGAGATCTTACTGGGGTCAAACTGTCCCCCCACCCGAGCGAAGGGTATCTAGCCGGCCACCCGGGCACGTGTTCATGCTGTGTTCCGCCTGCATTATGCCTGGCGTTTTAAATAGGTCCCTGAGACTTTCTCCCAAGGCGATGGTGACAGAAATGCTTTTTCAGCGAGGCTAACAGAAAGCTAACGGAATGGGGAAGTCAGACAACTGCAGAAGGTTGCCTCAAACAAATTAAAAAGCACTTACAGAAAGTTTGGTAGGGACGATAAAGTAGGGATTGATATATCTTTTTCCCATTCTCCCCTGCCCTACAGGAGAGATACCACACGCACACACGCACGCACGCATATATATATATATATATATATATATATATATATATATATATATATATATATATATATATATCCTATAGGTATACAGCAATGCTCATTTGTATGGGCAGGTTAAAAATGGCGGCCGTATGGCCGTGCAGTTGAGGCGCCCTACAGCAACGATAAGCAACCAACCAACATTTAGATTTTTAAGAGTGGCGTCGATGAACAACAGTTCAATCCAACAGTTCATGGTGAATTCAGTCAATGTTATCGAATAAATCTGTCATCAGATAACAAGCCAACTCATTCCCCTAAATCTCGATAACCAACAGCTTATCCCTTATCCGTACTGGTGCACGGTGGCACAGCCTTCGAAAACCGACCGATTCAGTCCATGCAAGCATTAAACTTTCAAAGGCGAGGCCCTCGTTGAACATCTGCGCATTCACGGGCACACGCACATGGTTAGGAGTGAATGGTAGAGCACACGTGCAATCGTGAATGGCACATCAAACCGAGTCAGTCACCCGTTAATGGTGAGCCCAAGCGCCCGTCACCGATCCCGTCATGCACCAGCCGATAGTAAAATCCATGCCTCGGTTAGTCCAGACCAAGATAAGACCACGCCGTGTTAACAATCGGCCCATGCTTCGGTTAACGGCGGCCCAGCGGCCCGTCACTCACTGCAGCTCCATGGCCGGCGCGGCCCGAGTGGCCATGTCGGCGCCCACCCGTCCTGAAAACACGGCCCGCGAGACTGGCGTGAAACACGGCGCGACGGCGTACGGACGGCGTCCGCTGCCGACAGAGATAACAGCGCCACTGTGCAGCGCGCCGCCGGACGCGGCCGAACGCTGCGGGCGGCCGGCCGTCGAAAAACAGGGCGAGACGCGCCTGGGTGGCAACAGCGCGTGATCCGCTCGAGGAAGGCCGGCTCCGATTACGCCGTGCGTGATGGCGGAACCCGCTCGTCCGTCCAGCGGCACGGGCAGCGGCGTTTTTAGGGGAGCGGAGCGAAACGGCAGCCTTCCCGCGCTGAAACCGAGCACGGCGTGCGAGGCGGCGACAACAGCGCCGCGCCGGAAGACGGCTCCTCGGTGGAAAGGCGATACAGTTTGAGATCTGAGCGACTCACAGCGGTCAGCAGGAGGACGATAGCGCGGCAGCCTAGACGCGCTTCGGCCTTCGTCTCGCGAAGTCGGGCCAGGACAAAACTTACGACCCCGAAACTCGTCGCCCGTTTATAAACAGGTGGCTTGAGTAAATAATCACCTTGCCAGCACACACCAGTTCAAGTTCTCACGCAACACACTTGCGATTGACACCGATCCAGGAGTTAATTCTGAGTCTATTCACCGCACGTACATGATGCTGACCGTCGCAACGAGAAACATGCCACAATTTTGGGCTGGCGCCAACTCGAAGTGATACGATATCATTCCGAAAACGATTCCGATGCTGGGGTTTCGATGACGATATAAGGGGTGATTCTTTGCAGTGCGGTCTAGTGTCCTTTGTGGAATTCAAACAAGAGAACACAAGAACACTTCTTTCGATGGTCAATGGGCAGAGCATGTGACATAGCAGCTGACTGTGAACGACTTTCTGACTTCACGATGAGTCCAGCACAGGTCTGTGCTACACCACCTGCCAGACCCACCAACCCCCTATGGGCCTAGCACATACAACATGCAGTCTGCGCACGGATCAAACTGGCAACCTGAGCTACCACGCTCCGACGAAACAATCATTCGTTACGTATACAACGCGCGTGCAGACACTGGTGAGTTGCATCATCGAAGCCTGTGGTTTCGCCAAATTCGCTGTGGACAAGGGAGTAGGGGGGGGGGGGGGGGGTTGGATGGGTAGCACAGAGGAAATGTATAAGCTACACCCGACATCAGCCGATATAAACGGGTTTCGGTCTCGGGTTCTCCGAATCCGACCCACTTTCACCCTAGTAAAAGGGCATGCGGCCCGTCCGGTTCGCCCCTTCCACCAGCCCTCCCCACACACTTTCGTCTCAACGTCGACCGCTGGAGCCCCAACCCCCCCCCCCCCCCATACTCCACTAAGGTGCACAGGAAACCGCACTCACGTCGGGCCAGCATAGCGCACAAGCCGCGTGGTAAATATCGCATGGGCAATACACCGATAACCAGCACCATCACACGCCGTACACACAGCGTCATATAGGGAACAGACTAAGCATCAACGGATTCATGAGGACAACAACTGATGACTTACCTTTATGCTGCGGAGAGATCAAGAGTTTGTTCCACAAGAATTTCGAAACCCCTGAAATGTAGGCAGGCTCTGAAAACACAGAAGGCCGCATATCAACATCACGAAACAGTGCGAAGCATTCACATTTTTCGGAAGCAGGACGAAATTTGTCTTGCAAATTCAAACGATTTGTGTGTGATAGTCACGCGTATTGCATATTGTGTTCCTGGTGGTCAGAGGGGGAAGACCAGAACCGGTGCGTGTAAACCCACTAGCCAATGTCCGTGCCGCACTAAATAAATCAGTGCGGAAACGCTGGCGGGCATCACAACACTGGCGGATCACGACCACGTCAGAGCTCCTTCAAAATGCACCGGCAACTACTCCGAAGGCAGATCGGCCCTAGGGAATACTATCGATCTTACATGTACGGACACCAAGCCGATGGGGGAGGGGAGGCAAGGGGAGGGGGGGGGGTGAGAGCCCTCGATGACTCATTTAGTGGCATCTCGGAGGCTACTGACAACAGAGGTCAACTCACGCCTAGCAACTCCTCAGCTGGAGTCAGCTGCTGCCCTAGGGTCACTCTTTGTCCGGTTGCGAAATTATTTGTGGTAGATCAAGCAAGAAAATAGACCGATATAATTACAGCATGTAACACCTATTTAAGAAAGGTATTGCTCAGCGGTGTTGGTTGCTTTAGGAATGACCAAGTTCCATTCCACGGAATACCACCGTTTGACGACATTCAAAAACGCAAAGACTGACCTAGGGAGGGAATATTGCCCGTCCCGACAGCTCAATTAGGTACCCACCCGCCTGTGGCGGGATGAGCTCGAGCCACTTTAGGCCCTTTTGTGTGCCCCTGACCGGGGAAGGCTGCGGGTGATGGCAGTGGCTGCACTCGGGCGTATCCACATCGTGGCCCCCAGGGGGTACGTGCCTCCTCTCGTATCAGATGTACGGCATGCATGAATAAGTGCGTGAAGTAAGATTCATAACAGAAACTCAGAGGCACACCCGTAGATCTTAACAGATCGGAAGCGCCGCATCCTGTGTTGCGTCATGAAATCAGTTTCGCACGCCGCATTCGTACGTTGTGCCCCCCCCCCCCCCCCCCTCCATTGCGACTTCCTGCATACGCCCCTAGCCGTATAAGGCCGATGACGCAGCGGGCAGACGGATTGCACCGAGCATTGCGACATATAATGACGCAACCAACGAGCCGCAAAAGCCCGCCATTGACCTGCAATTTCACGATCAGCAGGTGGGGCCAGGGCTCACATAGAAAACACTGCTTAGGGTGCGCCAGATTCCCAAATCCGTACCATGAAAAGTTGGAAACGAGACCCTCCATTCCCAGAGGGGTGTAAACGCCAGGCATGGCTCTTGCAGGCGTACGTTCAGTAACGAGTTTAATTCTTCACATTCCGTGACGCATTGGTGATAGCGTTCATCAAGAGCGTAGGACACGGACTCTTCGTGTTGCCTGCTCCCGGTCGGTCGCGGGCCTCCGAAAAACAGTGAATCCGCAGGGGGCGAGGTGGCCCCGAGATCGCACAGGTCACTGCACACCACAAAGGCATGACAGACAACACAGACCGTCCCCCCCT